ACCCTAGAACTCTTAACATTTGCCTCTTTTGTCTTTAAATTCTTTTTATGACTTGTTCGTTTTTTCATACAATAACATATTATGTTCGGTCAGAAAGGTATGCCACTCCCTTGGTTCCTTACTTCAGCTTCTTTTCTTCAGAATGCATCAAGCTGCTCCATCAGCGCCTACTTCCATATGGGTGGTACTACTCCGTTTGGGCATGTTTTCTTTTTACCGGTGTTTTTTCTACGGGTACATCGAACTGAGAAAGCCGATATCATGACCACGTTAGTGATTCCTGAGATTGGTGCGCTCTTAGATAGGCTTTCATTAGACTCATTCACACTTTTGAGCTTGTTGTTTTATAGAATGATCACTTGTCATATATACATGCGCATATATATATATATATATATATATATATACCATGGAGTTCGCCCCTACTCCCAACGGTTTACCGCCTCATCGTGGCTAGGAGGTATTCCTAGGTGTCGCGCGGCGAAGTACAACCTGGAGATTCATCAACCTGGCAGGGTCTCCTGAATCAAAGTCGCATGGTGGCAAATTTCTTTCTGATTCACAAGGGCTGCGACTGCCTGTCGTGGTAACGACTTGGGGCAAACTTTGGCCAGGTTGTTCTCGGGATTCCAAGGAACACAATGGCTTAACCAGCAAAACTTCGAAAAATAGTGATTATGCTGGGGCCCTCACAACCAGTGAAGACGGGCCGTTCAATTATCAAGTGAGTAAGAGTTCGTCACCTAGGATTACATTATACAGTCGCGATAACACGATTAACCAGTCCAGTCAATTCAATAATTCGGTTTCGGTGACTTTTCCTTTGTCAAGAACCTGTAAAATATGTGCAAGCGTTTTTCCTTCATATTCCAGCGGTTTAACGTGACAAGTGTCTAGCCGAATAGCGCCAATCTATAAAGGAATTTTCTGATTTGCTCCCATCCAAAAACACACTTAACTTTAGTATAGTAGGATATTTTCATGAATCAACCTCCATAAAAGAAACCGCTGCAGCGCTGTCATCACGCGACACACGTCGTCCCAGATGAACCCCATAAATATTAATGACGTTCCACACCGGCGAAGGTCTTCGAAATTTTTGCTTGTGACTGCGACTGCTGCTTTGGGTTTTTTTTTATATAAATCTCGCTGAATTGTGATAGGATCTATCTTGTCTTGTACCGTGGTGGAGATGTCCTTAGGAGTTTCCACGTGGCTTGGAGTCAGCGAGATAGTATCAGGCAAATATGACACCAATTTCCCCACCCTAGAGGATTGGAAAGTTCCCTGAACAGGACGGCCTTAAACCAGTTTTTTAGTTCGCTGTACGTTTCACGTGTTATTCGTTACCGTGACACGCGCCCATAAATTATTTCAACATACGAAGAATTTAAATTCCGCCAAACCCAGCAAGCGGTACGTCGTTCTTATTCAAACGGTTACACTTGCTGGCCACTTGTAAATATTTAGTTAAAGACTGATTACCTTAGATTGCTAGCATTGAGCATATTTCTTCACTTCTCAGAGTTATATGCATAGTTGAAAGGTAGGCACTATTTTTCATTTTTTGCAGTCCGACACGTCTGGTACAACAACATTATTTAAAACTGTTCATAATCCACAAATATGATCGGATTTATTCTCAGCATCGAAAAAGACAGTATTCGGTTACACCAGTGATGCTGGGTTTTTTCCTCATTTGTTGTTTCTCACTAGAGGACTTAGCAAATATCACCCGTTTTGCTTAAGCCAGCTAGGTTCCGATTAAAGCATAAAAATGTTCAACGTTGATCAATCCTTGAGGGATATGTCATGCATTCTACCTCATTAGGTATCATAGAGGGACGAATCCATATTTAGCTCACCGATATTTAGTTAATAACGTAACAGGGCGAACCGATGCATCATTTCAGAGTTTTATCTTCCTAGTAGAAAGCTTGGTGTTTTGCTTATTATTGAAATGCAATGAATAATATTTTGTCCAAAAAGTCTGATCCGCTGTATTCAAACAAAAACAATAATATGTAAGAAAATTAAGAAATTTGCCCCAAATTCACAGTAAAGCTCTCGATTCTTAATCTATTCTGGACAATCTTATCGTACTCCTTTCTCGTCATTTGTTTTTTCCATCGATGAAAAACCAAGTTTCCATTAGATGGTCGGCCAAGTTAAAGTTAAGATCCTTTCATTCTTTTGAATTTCCTCCACTATCTCTTAGCTTTTTTCTTATAACTTTCCTTGTTGTAAAGATAAAATGCGAACGACAAAATATTAGTAGTAAAAGCATAGTATTTTTAGCTACTTACTTATAACATAAAAACACAGTTGAATTTTAATCCTTCTTTAATATTTCAGAGTTTTAAACATTTTAACAATTATTATTAATTATTTTATTATTAATTTTTTAATACTTCAGAGCTTGTTGGAAGAGTATAACTCCTATAATGATGAGCCTAAATAAGGACTGCAATATATTCTCAATGTTAAGCACTCACTTTCTTGAAATTNTTCAGAGCTTGTTGGAAGAGTATAACTCCTATAATGATGAGCCTAAATAAGGACTGCAATATATTCTCAATGTTAAGCACTCACTTTCTTAAAATTTCTGAAAAGAATAGAAATACAACCACAACGTTGCTGAGATATTTGCAAAACTCTGGACCGCAGGTGTCTATGGTGGGGAACGAACGCGCTACTATCCTTTCCGGGGAGTAACGCGTTCACCACCACACCATGCGGGTCCTTTGTTTCGCACGTCTCTCAGCTATTTCTATCGATCTTTTTGCCACAGCAATCACCCGTCACCGGGGTTGGTCTGGGGAGCGCAAATCGGCATAGAACCCAGTTAAGCTATGACTGTAGTTGAAATCACAATGTTTAACGTTTTGTTTTCCGCATTCTATAATTTTCATGACAGGTTACTAAGCGAAATACAACCTGGGTTCTATGCCGATTTGCGCTCCCCAGATCAACCCCGCTGACGGGTGATTGCTGTGGCAAAAAGATCGATAGAAATAGCTGAGAGACGTGCGAAACAAAGGCCCCGCATGGTGTGGTGGTGAACGCGTTACTCCGCGGAAAGGATAATAGCGCGTTCGTTCCCCACCATAGACACCTGCGGCCCAGAGTTTTGCAAATATCTCAGCAACGTTGTGGTTGTATTTCGCTTAGTAACCTGTCATGAAAATTATAGAAGGCAGAAAACAAAACGTTAAACAGAATAGAAATAATCGTGGCCATTCCTGTCGTACTGAGAATTTCGTAACCATTCATGGTCTTTACGCAAAGTACATGATCATGAATCCGTAGACATGAGTTCATTCACTAGCGCGGTACAAGAACACCAGTGGTTAGAGGTGCCATTGAATAAATGGATCACTTCGGATTCGAGTTGGATAGCTTAATCTCGGGATTCTAGGAGGAATTAATCCAATCAGCTCTGAAAAACACTTTTAAAAAAGACAAAATCCTTCTTCGTATTTTTGTTGAGCAAACACGAGGTGTTATTATTCTTTGTTCACAATTAAGCTGACGTTTCGGCGGATTTCGCCTTCCTCAGAGCCTGGAAAGGTCAAGTTGATAGCAATCTACTCGGCCAGACGCCTCCATCTGGTCAAGTTGATACAGAATAACCAAATTTCTGTGCGGTTGGTCTCTACGTGACATACTTAGTGGAAACCTCATAGGAAGCGGTGAGTGTGCAAAGCTGTGTTCAAAGTGATTGAAATCTTGGTTTGTGGTTTCTTTGTTTGGTTATAGAGGCGTCTGGCCGAGTAGATTGCTATCAACTTGACCTTTCCAGGCTCTGAGGAAGGCGAAATCCGCCGAAACGTCAGCTTATTCGTGAACAAAGAATAATAACACCTAGCGTTTGCTCAGGAAAAATACGAAGAAAATCACTTGATCAATGCCGAGGTTAATAGAAAGTCGGTCGTGGGAGTTACAAAATCCTTCCTCCAGTGGCAGCCGAATTCACACTGGAATTCGACGACTACCGTGGACATGTGAGGCGACGGAGTCGAATGAGAGAAGTGCTGAGTTCCGTACAATAAATGTGAAGACGAGTTGTATGAAAAGCAAAAGCGCCATATTTCTCATAACGTCCACTCAGTGTAACAAAACTGTTGACAGTTAAGGTGTGTTTAATTTTCTCAAAAAATGTTGAAATTTCTTCGAGAATTCTTAGAAACGGCAGCAACTCGGAAGAAGTAGAAATCAGCAAAAAAAAATTGAGTTCGAAGTAGCCGACACATTCATCAAGTTTCAAGAATTCTGGGATGCTTGTTAACAAATAACAAACCAGGTGCATCAAAGTTTGCCCACGAATGTTAGTGGTGTATATTGCTCGGCAGAGATTCTTGCTTCGCTTTTTGTAGACTGTCGATAGCATGCCCAACACATATTTCATGGAAGGTGTGACTTATGAAAATCTACTCTCTTCACCTAATAATTCGTTAAGGACATTTCTTGGACGAGTTCATTTTACATCAGCAGACTGTTTCCTTTGAAGAAGCTATACATTACAGAAACTGCAGCGAGTGAAGAAGAGCAGAAACACCTCTTGTTGAACAATGGAATTCGATAGTTAGAAAATGTCTTCTGCGTTTATAAGACGAGAAATCATTAAGGAGACTGCTTGAAATTGACCCAGTGATCAGACAGCGTGCGCTCATCAATAGGATTCAAAATAGTTTGTGATCCGAAGTAGTTATCAACTCACACGATCCTTTTCTTTTGCATTTATTTTACAACGCAAAATTTGCAATTTTTGTAACCTGTATCACCTGTCGTCGCGTTGATTGACCTGAGCGCGAGCCAGTAAATCTTCCATTTTCTTTGTCGCGCGCAAGAGTAGTGCAGTGGGTTCTGGTCGCTCTAGGAAGTCGTTGAGCATTATATTGTTCTTCTAAGGTTTTGGAACTCTGAGCATCGGGTCTGTGGTCCTTCTGCTGCACGTTTGACATACCAACGATTCAATCCGCCATAGGTTCTTGTTCGCGATGCTAGGTGTATCCTGTTTCACACAAGCAAGGGATGAGATCCGAAGCTCCGATCTACGTCAGCGATCAAAAATCAAAGATGCCGTTCTGTACGCTAAGCAATCAAAGATAAGGTGGGCCAGACACCTAATGCGTATGAACGACAACCGATGGACAAGAGGCGTTAGTTATTGGATTCCTGAGGATGTCAAACGTACTGCAGGAAGACCACCGACCCGATGCTCAGAGCTCTTCACAAAGAGTCTTGAAGAAGGATATGATGCTCGACGAGTTCCTAGAGCGAGAAGAACACACTGGGCTACTCTTGCACGCGACAGGGGAAAATGGAAGAGCTCGCTGGAGGAGGTCGATTCACTCGGCGACCAACGGGACTACAGGTGATACAGGTGACAGGCGATGGGCTCTTGTCCATTGGTTGTCGTTCATACGCATTACACGTTTAGTCCACCTTATCTTCGACAATTTGGAGTGTGGAAAAGAGTCTTTGATTTCGATCGGCCAGAGCTACTGATCTCCAGCAAGCACAATAGATGTTGCTCTTATCGTTATTTCGACTGCGCGTTCAACAACGCTTAGTATCTTTCATTCTCCTTACGTAGTGACCAGGTTTCTAATCTGTATAATCAAGCACGAAGAATTGTGGTACCGAAAAGGAGGGCTCGGACCAGAGTGCCGTTTATCCTACCCGCAACATCGTCTATACTCTTGAAAGCACCCACAGCCACTCGTTTCCTTTTGCTTAACTGCAGAGATAAGTGGTTTATCATACTGAATTCCCCATTTAGATAAATGTAGCTACAGCATTCAAAATGTTAATCCATCCCACTAAGTGTAAATGGGGCATACGAAACCAAACCATTCGTCAAGAAAATTGTTTTTGTTAGACTTGGTCAAAGACCAATCCTTCCACGCGTTTTATCAAAGTCGGCAAGCGTTCGTTCCACTTGGCTAGTGTTTAATATTATAAGAACGATGTCATCTGTAAAACTAAAATGGTGTAATTGCCGACCATCAGCTCTCACTCCCATGTTGTCGGATTCCAATGTTCGCACTACGTTCTGGAGGGTGGTTGCAAATTATTTTGGCAAGGTGGCACCGCCCTGTCTAACCCTTTTTTACATCAACGCTGCTGTTATAATATAATAGCAAACATAGTGAAATATCACTATATTTTAGCTGCGAAATTTTTATATGGCTCACGAAGAATATGTACTGAGTAGGGATTAGTTCGTGGAAATTGATGAAAGCAAGGCAGAGCTGCTTTCTGTACTCTCGCTGTCAATGAATCTTGCTATGGCATGGATGTGGCCGATCGCACTAAATCCGTTTCGAAACCCTGCTTGCTCACATGTTTATCGTTTGTCCGGTGTTCTGTCAACCCTGTTTAGAATGATTTGAGTGAAATTTGTAGACAACGGACATACGTAGATTGGGTGATGGTTGCCGATTTCGTGGAGATCACCCTTCTTGAACAATAGCACGGTCTTGCTAGCCTCGCAGTGAATGGAAACATTCTATTCTGACAGGTGGCATGTAAAGAGCAAAACCAGCATTTTAATGAGAACTGGTGAAAGGGTTTCAGGCTCTCAGTTCCTACACTCTTTGGACCAGGTTTCGATACCCCACCTACGCAACTGCAGTCAGCTTTCTGAAGGGAGAAGCAATGGAAAGACTCCTTTATTGAACAAGAATAGCCTTAATTCATAAAAAGAATCTAGGACGTGGCTATTGAAGAGCTCTGAGTAGTAATCGTTATTTTTATCCATTGCCTTTATGGAAGATGTAGTTGTTCCGTCTGGGCATGGGCGTGCAATAGTCTTGGTTTTATAATTGGCAATGTTTTGATGGGTTTTACGACTGCTTTTCTCACTTCCTGCAGTATTCACCTTAAGTGCTGCTCTTCTGTCCCTGTGATCTTCTTTAACAGCATTACTGCAAGGGTTTGCGGGTTCAGACGTGGGTCGGTGGTTACCTGTTGCTTGGCCAACCCCACAACACCGTATTACCTCAAGCCGTTCTGGAGGCAAACCATTTTGTGACTTCACCATATCTACAATTACAACAGTTAGTGCACTGTTACTGAAATATTCAATAAACCGGTCCTATTTCTCATCGACTTTATCAATAACGGCATCCTTAGAGGTGATTACTAATGATCGCAGTAAAGGGAATTTTATTGTGGTTTTGGAATTTTGGCTTTTAACTTAACGTCTTTCTCTTTTCTCAGTCAGATAGAAATCGATTCTTGGGAGAAAGGGACGATGACACGACTTTGTGTAGAATTTTAGACTGACAGCCACATCGGTTAGACAAAACCTTCCATTTATTACGACATGGTCTATTTTCTTATGTCACTGTCCACTGAGAGTGTGCTGAAGACGTGCTTTCTCAAATTGTGAGTTATCATAACCCTCACTCACAGAGGAATATCCTATCGCTTTGTCGGAAGGCAATGTATCGCGTCTTAAGTAAGGGATAAGGGGTTAAGTACTGAGAAAAACAACCTTATGCTACCCTAGGACGTGCGTGGAGTTAGGGGATGCACTCTCTGTTTCTTGTTTCTGATGGGCCGGTTTCATATCTCAAAGAAGACATATTCTCGCATGTGTGTGTGGGTGTGTTCCCGTTTATGTGGATTGTATTCGAAGCGTAAATTCGGCCGAAACCCTGCCTAAAAGTGGTTAAACAGTATACGGGGTGCTATTGAGCAGTACCCTCCAACTTGACTGTCTACTCTGGGAGCAAGTGGCAAACCATCCGTTAGTATATCCATACCGCATGTTCAGAGCTCAAAAAGTAATTGGCAGCTGAAAATGCTAATGAGAGTGAATATATATATATATATATATATAAATACATACAAACCTGCATCCTACTTATAAACAGCACTGTTTACATACAACTTGCAATTTTTGCGAGCAATCAAGAGTTTCGCGTTCTATCACCTTCGACAATGATGAACTGAGACAAAGGGTCGCCTGATTAACTGTGGACGTTAATATACTGCCCTTCAAATCTTTAGAGTTCAATACCATTGTACCGTCTCTACTTATTTTTTGTGCTACAGATTTCCACTGTTGATATCCCACTGAGTTCCTTTGCATGTCTTTTCCTTTTTCGACCATTAGCCGCGCTAAATATTCTTATTTTCAGGTAAGCTTTCAGCCATGGAAAGGCTTCTGAATTAGTGCCTGTTATTGTCGAGATGTTTTCTTTCATTTATAATAATGTCCATGAGCATCGTTACTACATCACACCTCCAATTATGCACCGATTGCTATCATCACGCTCCAATATTCTATTGGTGTAGTCACTTCTCGAACACAATTTAAATAGCTTGAATCCGTATATGTGTCTCTCTGTGGAATATAGTGGCTGCTAGTGACTGTCCTAAATAGCATTTCTTAAAACTCATAAAAATCGGTCAATTCGAAGGAATGAAACAGGATTTGTGGAAAAAGACATTAGACTGACTATGGTCGAAGAACCAAAAGCTGTGAAGCATTTCATTGCAAGAACATTCACTACGTCATCAAATTTCCATCCTCTTTCTCCGATTCAGTTTTTCTGACTCTTCGCCAGAAAACGCATGTGTTGTTCTTCACACGTCCTACTGTTATTATCTATGAGAATTCGACAGAAACCGAGGTTGACATCGTCGTCAGCGTATATGATCGAAAGCCATAATATTCGAATCGTGGCAAGAAAAAGTCCATCCAATATGATAGACATGGGAATTCACTATAACTTGAAAAGTCGATGGCAGCAAAATAGAGGTAAGTGAAAAACAAAGAAAGAAAACAGAAAAAAATAAAGTAAATATAAAATGGCAATAATCTCACAAAGGTTGATAGTACGATCACTCCGACTTCTCTGATGAAAATGAACACACCACAGCTTCATTGCTGTTCAATGCTTCAATGTTTGAACACATCAAGCCTATTTATGTCTAATTTGCGGTTATCGAAAGAGCAGCTTCACCTTTCAATAACCTTATCGCAGCTCATAATGATGTTTACCTAATGGAATGAAAGCCACCGTAAAAGGGTAGATATTCTCTGTAGATACGTCTAAATGTCTGCGTTTCAAATACGCTTAAAATAGAAGTCATACTCCAGCAAAGTTATTACTTTTTCTTAGAACAATGGTTAATAGCCTCTGCTAGAAAAAAGTCAATTTGTCGCAAGTTCTCTATTCATCGAGAAATGAAAAGAGTTATTAGTAAACTTCTTATTATTCGGTGGAAAAGAAGGTTAAAGTGTTAATGAAGATTAAACTTTCAAATAGACGCCATATTGAACAGAAAGGCCACTCACCGTGATGTTACGTGCGGGACTGGCCCACACGTTGTTTCCGTGGAGTCGCGAGCAAGACACGCCCCGGGGTCAAAATATGATTTCGAAATAGGGCGCCAGGTCACGCGTGATAGTGAGGCATTCGTCGTTCCGGTCCATCTTTGTATTTTCGAAATTTATCCAAAACGCCTCAAGAGTTTTGGGCGTTGATGTTTTTGATTCCTGCGCTCGGATCCGCACAGTCACTTCAAAATCATCGCCGTTGTGCTTTTGTGCCCTATGCGTACCTAGAGGGGTGTTTAAACGGATTTTAGCTTTCCCATCTAGATGTTCTTTTACGCGGGCACAAAGTGGTCTATCCGTTTACACGATATATTCCTCGCTGCATGCATTACATGAGATCAAGTATATTATACCTAAACTCATGCAATCCCCGTCTCTCCCGTTAGGACAGATCATACAGTTTTCTGAGCTGCACAAACGATCATAGAGACGGTTTCGAACTAACTGGCGGCGTAGGGTATTGGGTGGGATGTCAACAATCATTACATAATTTTCAAGACCACTTTTTCTTAAGCACTTTTTAATGGCGTGACTTACTTCATTTGTTGTGAGGGTTGGTTCAAAGGGGATCTTACTTACGTCTGAAATATTATTTTGGGAAACTACCCAACGTTTTCCTCTAACCCGAGTGGCTTCTACTTCGCAGCCATTCGAAATGGCAGTTTTTCGCGCCAGGTTTCGCGACTCCTTCCTTTCCTCTTCCCTTGTATACACATTTTTAGCCGTACCATACATATTTTTGTTAAGTGCCTTTTTCATCTGTGAAGGATGAGAGGAGAGGCAGTGGACTAAAATGTTTTTATTGCTTGGCTTGCGATACCATTTTGTTAAATAGCCACTTACTGAGAGCTTTATTTGGATGTTTGAGAATGGAAGCCAGTTCTCGGTAGGTTTTTCTCGTCTAAATTTTATATACTCTGACTGTCGGTTTAATAATTTAAAGCACTCATCCATCTGTTCTTGTGTGGAACAGACGATGAAGCGGTCATCTATGTATCGACAGTAGAGTAAGGGTCGGTGATCGAGAACTGGAGCTTCCACCTTAGACATGAAAGCGATGGCAAGGCTTGGTGCTAAACGCTGCCCCATCGCCAACCCTCTAATTTGTGCAAAATATTTTCCAGACCACCTAAAGATTGAACAACTAAGACACTGTTTTAAGAGGGTCATTAGTTGCGTAAACGACAAGCCGTTCATTTCTATTTTCTTTTCATGCTCTACGATTAACTCGAGAATGGCTTGCATTGCGGAGTCATTGGACACGTTGGTATAAAGTGAACTAACATCGAATGACTCCATTATATGCGTGCTGTTTGGTTGCGCGAGCCTTAGGTGATCTAGAAATATTTTGGTGTTAGGAAGATGGGTTGGAATGAATTCTAGCACCTGGGTTAGGATAAGGTTTAGGAACCACGTTATTCTATCCGTTGGCCCGCCTATACAACTGATGATAGGTCTAACTTTATATGATGATGGGTTCGTTGATGTAATATCATCAGTTGAAGTAAGCTTATGTGTTTTAATAAGCAAGTAAAGGACAGGGCAAATCGGGTGTTCGTTCTTAAGTCGAGAAATAACTGAAGGCTCTAAACCCGCGGCCTTTGCCGTGCTGACCCATTCTTGATTCAATTTTCGGTATTGATTTCTGTATTCCTTTTCAGAGGATGTTCGAAAGAGAGAAACATCATTGAGGTGCTCCTCTGTTATCCTATTATCCGACTGAGTACGAAGAACTACAAATTCTCCGCCTTTATCACTAATAGAAAGTCTAATAGATTTTGAAATTAAAAGCTATGTGATCGAAAGCCATAATATTCGAATCATGGCAAAAAAAAAGTCCATCCAATATGATAGACATGGGAATTCACTATAACTTGAAAAGTCGATGGCAGCAAAATAGAGGTAAGTGAAAAACAAAGAAAGAAAACAGAAAAAAATAAAGTAAATATAAAATGGCAATAATCTCACAAAGGTTGATAGTACGATCACTCCGACTTCTCTGATGAAAATGAACACACCACAGCTTCATTGCTGTTCAATGCTTCAATGTTTGAACACATCAAGCCTATTTATGTCTAATTTGCGGTTATCGAAAGAGCAGCTTCACCTTTCAATAACCTTATCGCAGCTCATAATGATGTTTACCTAATGGAATGAAAGCCACCGTAAAAGGGTAGATATTCTCTGTAGATACGTCTAAATGTCTGCGTTTCAAATACGCTTAAAATAGAAGTCATACTCCAGCAAAGTTATTACTTTTTCTTAGAACAATGGTTAATAGCCTCTGCTAGAAAAAAGTCAATTTGTCGCAAGTTCTCTATTCATCGAGAAATGAAAAGAGTTATTAGTAACCCAGCATGTTCTCCTATGTAGGGTATATAAGGTGTTTTCATTTTCAGTTATTATGATGGATCGTGGTTGTAGTATGGGCCGATGAGTTAGAAGATATAGGAAGATGGGCTCATATAAGTTGCAAACACTTCCGCAACCCAACGGCTAACGGTTTGGCAACTGAACTGTAGCAAAATACAACATGCGGTAAAGCTTATATTTACATTTATATTTATTTATATAATCTTATAAACTGACCTTTTTTAGCTGATATGAGGTTGGTATAGGTTTCCGATGTCGTTGTCTTTGTTGTTGGTGTTGTTCCACTCGTGTCCTCCTCGTAACATCACGGCTTTGAGGAAGGCGAAATCGCCGAAACGTCAGCCATGGACCAACAACACCAACAACAACGACAACGACAACGGCAACGAAGACCTATAGGAACCTCGCATTAGCTAAGTGACATCAGTTTATAAGATTATATAAATAAATAAATATATCAACTATCCATGCCTAGGTTTATAGAAAGTCGGTCTTTTGAGTTATAGTGAAGCTATTCTCTAAACTCTAGATGGATACAGCGAAACATTCTATAAATTTATGATTTTTCTAACTCCAAAACTCCTCCACCTATCGAAAATTTGCCACCATTTCGAAAAACGAGAGCACTTCCGTGTTTACGTCGCGGACGACTTTTTCTTTTTTTGCACCCTCCATCAAGTTAACAGTGGTCAAATTTATGTATTAACCAAAATGAGTAATAAATGACGAGAGCAGGTTTTATTGCTAGGCATCACTTTCTGTGAAACAATTTCAGTAATGGTTAATCGTTAGTATCTGATCAGTGGAATTGTCGTTATTCAGCAATTTTTGCGTTTATGGTTGAGGTTGAAGACTACAATGATAGGCAATGAACGGTTTGCATTCAGAAGTTGAACGACCGCAAAGAATGTCATTCGTTATGAACGAAATATTCAACAGTCGAATAAGCGGTTTTATCTTTTCGTACAAAGACATCACAAAACATTTTCGGTCTTTCGCTCTTCACGCACACACACGCAAACGTATATACACAAATAGATACATACAAACACGGCCACATACTCATAGTAAGGTACATACATGCACATACGAACATACATATATATGTACATACACAAACACACACACACACACATACACACACACACACTACACCATTCACACACACATATACACATATCACGCTACTTTACAGCGATGAATTTGATCAAAAACCTGTTTACAAATGATGGTAAACAACAACATCTTCATGGCCTTCTTCATCTTTTTCTTCTTCTTCTACATGATTCTGCATCTGATCGTGTTTGTACTTTTGATTCTTGTTCTTGTTCTTTTTCCTGTGTTTCCTCTTCATCAAACAAATCGGCGAAATCAGCCTCGGCAAGTACATGAAAGAGAGAAAAATTGACGGTGCATTCAAGTGCGATTGACGACTTATTTGAACTTTTATCTTTCATGAATTATATACCGACTTCGTCGCCAGTTCTTGCTTGGAAACAATCACTTTGGCTTTTATTTTCTACTCCAGTTACTCCAGTGTTTTCTGTACAAGAAAGCACTGGGATATGCCGTTACACTTTCATTGCATTTCAAGTCTTATAGGCATATATTGGCAAAAGATTCAAACCCCAAAATGTCTAACGCAAAAGTTTCGGATTTGAATTTCGAACCGGAGGCTGTAAAACGACAAAAAGATATCGCCGTGTCGAGGAAAAAAGGCATATCGTAAGTGTTTTCTTTTATAACTGTGTAGACTACAGTTTAGGGTTCAAAAACTATAGAAGAATAAATCGAAGAGTTCAACGTTTCGAATATTAAAAGTTCCCGCCTTTTTCTATTTAACTGCAAATACCTTCAAAAAGAATTTGAATCGCAAAGGTTGCTGTATTGGCTTTCTGATCATTTTGCGAAGTATTCGAGATAAATCCTTATAAGAGAATCGGGTATTTGTGAATAAAAGCTGTCGGTCTTCGTTTCTCCTTCGCTCTTCTTTCTGGCGAGGAAAAATCCGTGCGAAATGAGGGTTTCAGAACTACTGTTTGTCGATGGCCTTTGCCCAACGTTGGCTATAAATGCCATATTTTCTATTAAAAGAGCAAGATCTTAATTGTGATTCCTGCCGTCTTCAGTCTGTAGAAATCTCGCTTCGCTTACCAGTTTATTATCGAAGTCAGTTTCGTCGTTGTCAACCCAACGGAAGACCTTCTTTCAGTTAAAGGCCTGGGAAGGTGTATATTGAGCGAAAATTGGCTTTCGATGAGTTTAGAATAGAACGATTTTATTCAACCACTACGAATCCTGCCCAGAATTCAGTGTGCGCTTTCTTATTGGTGTTATTCATAGAAGTACTGCGAAAAATCTTATCGGTGAAGGACAAGGGTGAGGCGACAACGAGCGCTAAAGCAAATGTCCTTCTTCTTTAAAACTGTACCATACCACTTGGATTGGTAGAATGTTGTCATATATTCTGTAGAGTGAGCCACTTTGTGAAATGCCGTTTGTGGAAGCCAATGCCCAATCCTTTTGGTAACGATTTTGAAACGCTTCTTTAACAGCTACCACCTCACAGACGGTAAGCAAGGGCGGCAAAAGCGATGTTAAAACGTATTAATTTGCTACTCAATACTGAGATTTGCTTACAATAAAATTTATTCTATTATTTTTATAATTTTATTACTGTTATTATTTCACATTCATTTATTTGTTTCGTTTATTTTTTCCACATTTACTTGTTTTTAAGCCCCATATTATGCCCCAATATTAGTATTTGAAAAAAACAAAATCTGAAAGGCCTACTGGTAACGATTTCCATAGGAATCCATCATGTTTTCGCATAGTTCACAAAGCTGGGTGGTCGAACCATCGAACCCCTGCCTATTGCGGGATGCTTCTAACCATTACTCTAACCGCGCAATAATATGGAAGTTAAAAATGAGTAAATGACAACTACTTAATATTTGTGTGGTGTTTCTCATAGAAATCAGTATTACGGAACTATGTTATTTTAGCCTCCGGTTAAGAAGTTCAGGCTTAATATGACGCCTGCTGTATGTTACTGAGTGTCTCAACTCAACAAAATTTAATGTTAACTATCGTTCGGGCTTTTTTAAACAAGAATATCGCATTCCAAACCATTCTAGTACACTGCATTGTTTAGAAGGAAGAAAAAACTATGATAAATCACATTAAGTTTACACAGTTTACAAACTTAAAACGTACATAAACAGGCAATGGACGAGGAAAATAGGTGCCGTCATTCGTCTATATAAGTATGGAATAATATTAAACGTCAAGTTATTTGTAACTTACTAAACTGAAGTTTTCACAGAAAAAATTTTTCTTTCAGAGCAAACCTCACTCTAATAAATTTCCTGAAAGGTATGATTGGACCCGGATGTTTTTCACTTCCGTTGGCATTCCGAGAAGCTGGGCTTTGGGTAAGATGTATGACTTATTTTCTGCATCTATGTTCTACTCTATCGAAGTCTATTAATTAATTGATCCAGACCATTTTAGGCTGGCTTCGTACTGGTTTTCATTACTGGAACTCTGACATGCGTCTGTATGCTGAAGATCGTTCGTTGTAGTCAGTTTCTGACATCGCGGTGAGTTTTCAAGAAGTTAGATGAAGTGAGAAAAATATTCAGAAAACGATTTAAAACAATATGAAATCAATGGGACCGTTTACAATACACGAAATTTGTGTTGATAAACATATACAAAAAGTCGCTTAGCTTCAAATTTCACTAAGGACGTACGATAAGCATAAATTCTTTGTTAGTATAATGACAACTAATCTAATTATAAGCTATTTTATGAAATACAGCCACTATGATGCTGAGATATTTGCAAAACTCCGGACCGCAGGTGTATGCGGTGGGGAACGAACGCGCTATTGTCCTTTCCGGGGAGTAACGAGTTCACCACCACACCATGCGGGTCCTTCGTTTTGCTTGTCTCTCAGCTAGTTCTATCGCTCAGTGCCATCGGCAATTACTTTAGAAAATCTTTATTTGCGTTTTCTGAAATCGTTCATGGATAGGTTTTTCACCATCAGAAAGCAGGCTATACTAAGAGATGAAAACCTAAAAGGAACGGTTCATCGTTATAAATTTCTTTACCGAACAGTTTTCTCCTGGATAAATTGCATCTTTAAGAAGAGCAGTCATTAGAGCACTTTTAGAAAATCCTATCTAATAAAAGCTGCTACCTATCTAAAACCTGTCAAGTGCCCAAAATCCCATTCTTTTTTGGCATTAGAAGTTGAAGATGAATTTTTCTTTCAAACTGATACTTTCGGAATCTTTGGAATTTTTTTCTTTTGAAGTAGAGTTAGGTTTAAGTTTGCACTGGATTAAACTGCCTTTATGGAAAAAAAAGAAGAAAAAACATAAAATCGTAAGAAAAAAAGTTGCATAGAGAAATGATGAGATTCGGTTAAATATGACTGCTTGAATATGAATAAATCCACGATCATGAACGGATGGGAAGCTCTTAAAGGTACGGAAAAAAGACACTCCAGCAAATTATAGCTAAACAAATTCGCTAGTAACAAAATTTGTATAACGTAAAATTTGTTTACGGGGTGTGAAAACGTAGAGAAAAAGACCGTTAATGGTTCCCGGTCTGTTAAAAAGTCCATTTCAATAATTAGTTTATTAGGGTTTATATTCAACTGTTTAATACACTGCATTCGAATCCAATGGGAATGTGCAATTTTTAAGAAATCCAAATGCTCAATCGCTGAACTATGCTGAAACGGCTGACGAAGCGTTCAAACAGAGTTTCCAGGTTATCAGGAATTACGGCCACATAGCTAGGTAAGTAACAAATAGGTCTAGACCACAGAGAATTATTTAATGTTAACTAAGTCATGTCTCCTTTTACAGAACATTATGGTAATATACACTATTGTTTTTTACACTACCGTTCTTTTGTAAATAACTACAACTTGATTTTTCAACCTTTACTTCATATTCTTCTTTTGTGAGAGGGTAGGACGTGAAACACAACTAAATACAAGAATGCTGCGCTAAGAGGAAAACCTCGGTGGGCTTCTAATCCTAGCCTACCTTTGCCGTGCTATCCATCGCACCAACCAAGGCTCTTGATTTGCCTTTATCTCAGCTAGTGTTTTTTAACCTAGCTGTCCTATCAGCAGTTTTTCATCAGCACGACTGATCTGTAAACCACAAATCGATGTTAAATCCAGTTAGGGTGAACCTGCAGTCGAAATCACAATGTTTTAACTATTACTCGTAGTTCAACATCCTTGTTGTTGCGTTTACGCTTTAATCTCAAAAGTAGTTTCATGAAGTCTGGTATCGACTTTCTTTTCTATTTGCTTGTTAGTAAAACCGTAAACGTCAAAGCTACCATAAAAATTGGAAAGCACCGGTAGAACTAAGCGATTAGCGTTTAGAGCGGTATGCAACAATGTCGCGATGAGTTGTTGATCAAGCTGGCGTCTTGAAATAAAAGCTAATTAATTTCGATTTAGAATCACTCGACTGCTTTCAAATGCATTGCAAAGCACAATACTACTGGATTTAAGAAAAAATAATAGGCAAAGGACAGAAAGTTAGACACTGTGGTTTCGACTGCAGCATGATCTTAACTGAATTCAATGCCGATTTGTGCTCCCCCAGATCAGTCCCGTTGACTGGTGTTTGCTCATAGCACTGTTTCGATAAAAGACTGGTTGAGAGGAAGGTAGAACGCGGGCCTACTGGTGCAGTAGGTAGCACGTGAGTCTTTGGAACGGTCAATCGTGGGTTCAAATGTGGCCCGAGGCAAGATTTTGCAAATATCTTAGCATCCTTGTGGTTATATTTCACATAATATCCTGCCATGAAAAAATAATAGGCAATAGGTGAAAAGTGAAAAAGACAGTCCATCTTGTCTTTGATTGAACCTTGCACTCCGAGGAGTAACGTGTGAAGAGCCGAGCCAGTGTGTTGATGAGGAGATGAAGCCTGGCAGAAGGTTTTCAGGTACTCAAGCCTTATTCTGCCTGGGCTAGGTGTTGTTTATCATTGGACTTCTTGTGAACGGATAACAGTCAAGTGTTAATGACACGGCAACAACATAGATGGAGAAATAAAAAATTCTTGGGAGAAATTGTCTAGGACGTGTTCTTAGTGAAGCTGTATCTGAATTGTTTAATGTCGAACTGAAAAAAATTTGCATCATGATCATTCAGACGTTGATGTGATATCTTAACAACATTCTCTATCTTATAGTTTTAATATTACACATTTGTTCTTAAAAATACTTCGTTTTTCTCATAACGAGTTTCCCATCTCTGTGTATCGTCAGTGACTTTCAACCTATAAAAGTACAACTAATTCTCGTTAATTGCTGGGTGATTAGAGTAGGAGTCAGTGCAGTCCCCATTCATTCTTCTCTGGAGCAAATGCTGGTCAGTTAAGTTTACTCTTCGATGACGACGCAAAAAATGTCACACTTTATTTTCCATTAAAAGTCCCATTTATATCTACTGTTTTTTCGGCAGCACTGTCATATTCGACAGCGAAGGAGGGCGAGGTCGGGTGTGCCCCTCGGTAGATGTCCAGGTTTTCTTCGCTCTCACTGGGCGTACCATTACCAGCAAAATCGAACTATGAGGTAGCAACCATCGCGTTCAGGATGCTGTTCTTTACTTACTTACTTAATTCAAAACTTAGGCGGTTCGTTCTCACATGTCGATCCTTTTTATTCTTACACGATCCTACCTCACTTATTGTGAGAATGCCAGCAATCATTCCATTCAATTCATTTCATCGCCTTCATCATCTACGAAAACCTTCTCAAACATTTCTGCTAGTAATTTCACAACTATGAAGGAATGGGACGCTTGGTAGGTGGGGCGAATCAACCGCTCTCAAGCTTATTAAACCAAATTGGAAAAAGAAATAGAGATAGACGGATTTAGATTGGAGAAGTTAGATGTGATATGATATTGCGGTGCGATAAGACTTGGCAAAAAGGTGGTTTTAAGAGAGAAAACTTTCGATTTCAGGCGTTTCGTTAATATTTGTGTGTCAAGTCTCGTGCTTGGTATATGTGCGATATATTACATTTTTGTCGTTGATCATACAAAAGAGGTAAGTGACTCTGTGCTGCAAATAAATATAGAAAATAATGGATGAGAGAAAAGGAAGAAAATGAAGAAAGGAGAAAAAAGGAATGTGCGACAAACACCGGAATTATAATCGCAAGTGAATGAAGAGGAGCAGTTTATGTGATACTGTCATGCTTTTACAGTAATTATTAGAGTATTAAAAGCGAGGCCTACTTCCCATACTTTATGGGAACGTGTGAAATTTATGAAAGAATATTGTAGAGTACAAAGTCCTTTTGTGTTCAGGTATTTATCAACAATATCTGAGTTTTTAATGTATTCTTCGCTTGATTATTTAACATTAGAACACCACACAAACGTCAAGATGTTGATGGTGAAGATAATGCTTCGATCATGCTTATCGGAGTAGTGGATATTATGTAGTAAGTGCGGTATCGTACCGTAAGACTGCCACTAAGCACAGGTGAAGGAAAGCACTGGCAATGGGATCTGAGTATGCTAAGCGCTGGGTAATCCCTTCCATTAAGAATTTATGGAAAATAGCAATTTAAAAATAGTATGGCGGGTCATAAAACTCAAAAGGAAGGCGTTTCACTAAATTGAAGACCACGTCACTTAATTAGAAGAAAACATTTTATTGTTAACCAATCCCACAGAGTTCCACCACGAATAACAGCTTCACGAAGCATCAGAAAGGTGATAGAATGCATATTTAGCCACAGAATGATTTCCTGGGGCCAATTTAACAATAAAGTTAGTTAATACTTTACAAGCCGACAGCCGTTTAACCCCGGCATTAATACTCAATAACTTCTCGAATTATTAAGCTAACACGAGGTTGATAAAGAGGTTTATTCTGCTAACGTTTCGACATCTTCGGCTTCGTCAGAGCCGATGATCTGTGGCGATGGTCCACAGCAATTCGTCTTCGATGTGGTGGTGCAGTGGCGTGGTATCGATTCGAACCATCTTCAGTTGAGCAATTTCTGAGGAAGACGAAAACGTAAAACGTAAGCCAAATAAATATCAGCTTTATGTTAGCCTAATAATCGAGGAAGATATAAAGCTAGTGCTTTTTATCGTTAATATAAGATTGAACTAACTAGAATGTGTCAGGTACAAAAATCGTCGGCTCTGATGAAGACGAAGACCCTGAAACGTTAGCCGAATAAGCATCTCGTATCAACCTCGTGTAAGCTCAATAATATAAACCAATGTTGATTATTACATTACGGTGGTTAAATGACGGTAGGCTTCTAAATTATTGTTTAACTAGAATATGCGTTTTGAAGGGCGCCTCTAACCATCAAACTAAACACATAGTGTGTACTGAAGAGCACGTTTAGCCACTGCAGTACTGATGCCGTGAAGATACCAATAATTGAATAGCAAACAATGCCAACAAAATCACATGCTACTCGCCATACAACTTCTCTTCATTTTTCTCTCTTTCTTTTCTTGTAGGTACTAATATATGTGTGGCCAGATTTACAAACAAGCAAGCTTTCATGTCTAGCCGTCGCCCTCTTGCCATTTATGGCTTTGTCGTCAGTCAGGTAACAATACTCTTATGTCATGTTTAAGTAGTTTACCACTAAACCAGCATTTCAGGAAGTAATTAGGGTAAAGTGTGTTTTTCGATGACGATCGTGAAAAACTCTCAATCTATAAATAGCTGACGAGTTGATCCGTAGTTTCCGGAAATATATGAGAAATCTATAACTAGCCTATAGATGACAAGAAGTGCACAACGTCCGCAAGCACCGCTAGGATATGTTCTGGAAATTGAGAGATTTATCGAGGTCTTTCTCAGAATGTGTACATCAGTAAATGAACTTCAGATCTGAATTTTCTATGTAGCTTGCGCCTTAAAACATCAGCAAAAAATTTGGACTGCACTTGGAATCTTCTTAGCTTTGTAAGACGAATGACCACTCTTCTGAAAAAAGCACTGTGAAGTAGGAAAATAGGAAAAGGAGCATGATCGGGAAACATGTCAGAGACATGATTCGAGCAGGAAACGCCCACTCAAGTGAATGACTAATTAGGTTCCTGAATATGAAAGAGCTGTAATAAATTATACATTGCTAAGACATAAAGTATAAACCGTAAAACGTAGATTAACAACCTGTCAGCGATTCACTATGCACTCGACTTCTTTAAAATCTCAACGGTAACTGCATGTATATCTCTTTTACGATGATGCATCTTGATTTGAATGCGCATTTCAATCACGCTCCGATGACACGCGGTCGTGAAAGGAATGTTTGGACTGCACAATGATTTTCAGTGTTTTCATCTTCCCAGATAAGTCTAGCGCCAAGTTTGCTACCTTAGAGGGTTGGAGATTTATTGGCATGGGAGTGCGGCAGAAGCAACGACAATAACTGCATTTCAGGAAGCCTCTAAATACCACTCAAACATAAGCCTCTCCTTACCTGATATTTACCTCTAGGATTTCTCCATTGTTATTTACTTAGGTCACTTTCAAGTCTCCATCGTTGACTTTGAAAGCAATCTAATCTGAAGTGTTACGACTATAGGTAACTAATTTTAGCAACAATTTCATGAACCATAAATGCTTGGTTCGAAACAATCCCATAATGGCACTACTTGTTGGAATCTATGGCTTTGGTTGCATTGGTCTAAATATTACATACTTCTCAAACAATCCTATAAGATTACGAAAACGCATTTCCGCCCTTTACAAAACTTTAAATACTTTTCTATACTCTTCTCCAGCATCGTAGTTGATCGGATTTTCAGAAGTTGTCAAGGTGTTCCTACTTCATCAAGCCATTTCCAGCCATCCGGAAAATAAAGAGTCTACGGTGGCCATCGCAAAACAAGACATTAAATCTGCACCGAGAAATTCATGGAAGACTAGGAAATAATAATGTGAAGCGAATATCCGTTATTCCTCGAGGGACGAATGTACTACTAGTCGGATTCGTGGAGTTGACACGAAGAAATTAAGCAGAGGCGACAGTACCATCCTCAACGACGTTACTTGGGAGTTTGCGTGTGATAAGATTTCACTTATGAACCATCCCCATGTAATGGACAACACTTATTCAATTGTTCGTTTAATGCAAAACCAAACTCCATTTCAAGATCTGGGAAAGCATCACTGCAAAGGGGAAATTGTTATGGTTTTCGGCAATGAAATTGTGAATTGTAAGGTATTCAGTACCAGTTCTACCAAAACAAGGTTTTTTAAAAATAGTTTTGTTTCGGAAAGAAGGAACTTCAATAAAGACATTCATCAGTACCACACATTTGAACGTTAAGATAGGGGCTCTGCGTTGATTTTTCTAGGGTCATTAGCACCCTCATCAATTCCGTTGGTTTTTTCCGCCATCGGTTTCCATGTGTAGGAGCTGATGAATTAGAAAGTCCTCATACCCATGGAAGGAATTGAAAAATTGAAAGCAATTAACTACCAGCAACGTATCGTGAAGTCTATAAAGCCAAAGTTGGAGTCCTTTTGCAAACTTAAATAAGTCCACTACAAACAGCTCATGGAAGTCTTTCTTTCCGGCATTTTTAGAGTTGTGGAACTTACAAGCCTCGAAAAGTAACATGAGAAAGCAACAACATTTAAAAGACAGCTGCCGTTTTTTCATGCGTGTGCATTCTATTTCTATGCACCCTGCTTGGGTCACTGGAACCGAAATAACTCGAAAATAAAAAACGATCAGAGTTTCAATGCTTCCACCTCCAGATTGTTCATATAGATTAATCAATCGTATCCACTGTTAGCCAGCTATTGTACGTTGAATCAAGTGAACATCAATGAAGTTTTACCCACATTGGGTCCGCTCGTATGAATGACTTCTAAGTCATTCATTCTTACAGGGCCGACACATTGGGTCCAGATTTGCCTGGGAGGGTGAGAAGATAAAAACACTTGGCGTATGGGTAGGCTACCGAAGGACATTGTATGGATCAAATGGTGCACTTTTGTTACTATTTCTTTTTAGAAAATGTGTTTTAGTGGGTACAGAGCTGAATATATCCTCTTAGCCTCACAACTATTTGATCTGAGGTCCATCAATAATCCTTTAGGTCTACAGGGCTGACTTTTTACTGAAAAGGGACAACACCGGTGTCTAGAACTCCATTAACTTTTCTGTAAAATATCATTTTTGAGTAAAGTAACGGTGTTCCTTCCTGCCACGTTCATTGCTCTGTGAGCAGAAAGATATCAAAACTACCTTCTGGGGAGGTATGTTAAGTTAATATATTTTCATTATCTGCCATTTTTAGTATTGTAAAGGAATTGCAAAACAAATCGTAAAATAACGAGCTCTAAGCAGAAATGCAGCATTTAGAAGTGTCCGATTGATGTCTTACGTCAGCATGGTCGGTAACACCTTCATGATTTTGTCGACAGTTGTAATTTTTACTGTGAGTTTTCTTAAGTATTGTTTAAATTGCGAAAATATAAAGTTCGTCCATGACTGGAAACTGCAAAAAAAGACGAGTATGAACTTCACCTCTACACTTCCTTCACTCTTCCTTCACTCTTTTCCTTCACTACGCTTCCTTTTGTTGTAAAAAGAAAAAAGAACTGGTCGGCAATGATGGATTAATTAATTGGCACTTTTTTGGGAGATCATTTCTAAAATCCTGAACGCCATCGGATATTCCGGAACATTGAAGATATTCTTCATTTTTTTCGACATTTTCTTCTAAAATAAAAATAAACTGCTGTCAGCCAAAAAAACCACTACTAAAAGGGCGATTCTAAACAGATGGTAAAGTCTTCGATGTGTATTAATACACATCCATGGAACCCTCCGTGTCCCATTAGTAATTTCTTTTAAAAAAAAGTTGGTTTTTCCTAAAGTTTTCGTCGGAACAAGGAAACTACTGAAGTTGACTTCTTCTCTAAGGCGAAAAAGACGAAATCGCCAGAACGTCAGCAATTGTATTTAAAAAATAATAGATACCAGCATCGCACTAGTTTGAACAGAGGTATGAGTCGCTTTGGGTTCGGAAACTAAAAGACCCTAAGCTCTATGTACCCTTCTTTGACTCAACCTATCCCTCTGTGTAGTTTCTTTTGCCGTGGGTTGATGCTTCAATCACAGCAAACATTCTGAGCACCATCTTAACCATTTTATTTACTGCCTATTCTTTTTAACGGCAAGGTATTCTGTGAAATATAACTATTATAATGCTGAGATATTTGCAAAACACTGGACCACAGGTGTCTGCGATGGGGAATGAACGCGCTATTGTCCTTACCGGGGAGTAATGCGTTCACCACCACACCATGAGGGCCTTCGTTTCGCCTGTCTCTCAGCTAGTTCTATCCATCTTTTGCCATCAGCAATCACCCGTCAGCAGGATTGATCTGGAGAGCCAAAATCGTTTGATGGCATTGCTGAGGGCAAAAGAGCGATAGAACTAGCTGAGAGACAGGCGAAACGAAGAACCCGCATGGTGTGGTGCTGAACGCGTTACTCTCCGGAAGAAACAATAGCGCGTTCGTTCCCCACTGCAGACACCAGCGGTCCAGAGTTTTGCAAATATCTCAGTATTATAATAGTTACATTCTGAGCGCCTCCAAAAAAAATGCTTGAACGCGTCTCCTGAAATATAACCAGCATTTCAAAAATTTAACGGGATGTGCCATAATTCAGGTATTCAAAATCTATCCTATCTTCGGTGTCTAAATAATATGCGAGACATAAATAGAATGTTCGTGTAATGACAAGAGTCAGCGAGTTCTGGACGGCAAGGACAGTGGAATAGATTCGAAGAAATTTAAACGTCTTCCAATGACGACACTCTACTGGATAGGCAGGCAAGTTTGTCAGTTGTCAGCTGCAAATGCCTTATGCATCACGAGATGACGCCCACATGTATACTTGGAGCAGATCACCGCTATTGACAAAGAACGCGAGAGAAATGAAATGAGCGAATGCAAAATATGCTGTGGTTCGGACTACTAATGAAGGCAGACCGTCAAAACATCTAATTAACTAATTAAGGTTGCTGTCACCATCATCGTCGAGATGTTTGATTCAATGAAATTTGTTTAAAAATGAAACATAGGTGATATCGTCTGGTGGCGTACTATTACCAAAACGTCAGGAAAGAAATTATAGTTGCTCCAACCTTCCTTTTAATGTTCTTGACCATCCATTTCCTACCCTTATCCAATCAATAACTTTTTCAAATAGAGACAAGAAAATGGATCTCTAGACGTTGATTAATCCTTGAAGGATGCGCCATGCATTCGACTTCATCAGGTATCGTTAGAGGTGATTGAGTATATATCTGGTTTGCACAACGAATTTCACCGGCTTAGCGATGTATCAAGTGAGCACAAACATCCTTCCAGACAAGTCTGGAACCAATTGGCCAAACCTGAATGGTAGGTTTGATGAGACCGTGGAGCGAACAAACTACCACGTGTCTGTTGCAGTGAACGCATAACCACTTCTCTACGCACATTCCTACTTAACACTCAAAATCCTTTTTATTGAAGCTCTAGGCTTAAGGAAATCAGTACTGGCTTAAGATTAGCTGGCCATTAATTTCATATAAAATAGTGCGGAGATCCACACTCTCTACTTCTTTTATGGGTGCTGAAGGCAGTGAATATCAATTCATAATTTCATTTCTTATCAGGAGATTCCCATCAGATAACGAATTGAAAAAGCCAGAGACAAAATTTGCCAGCTTACTAGTTATGTTCTAGTAAATGTCAAATGTTTAGTTCACGAATTGCTTTCACTTTCAACGAAGAAAGCGAAAACTGATTTTTTACTTATTTGGGTGCGTGGGCAGCCAGTCAAAACTGCTTGCTGAGAAATTGTCTTTGAAGATTTTCATCCGAACATGTTTTAGCAACTTTTGTCGGCCGAGCATGTCCTCGACTCATTGCCAGGCGTTACAGATTTTCGTGGGATTGTGTTCGCCACTGGTTCTGTGATATATTCTTTTGAAGGGCAAGCTCTCGTAAGTTCATTTCCACCATCAACTGATCTATTTACTGCAAGTAATAGATAAATATTTACCTTCTAACTGCAAGGACTCATAAAGTAGCAAAAAATATCAGTATTACCAAACATTTGGACTACAAGATCCACGATGGTCACTAAGATATAACTGTCACCACCCCTCCCCCCCCCCCCCCCCCCCCCCCCCCCCCCCATTTAAAATTGATAATTCGCTGTTTTCTTGACAAGTGCACATAAAATTGTTACTATGCTCTTTACTAAAAAAAAAACGACATTATGGTGGATTTCCCTTTTATAGAGCCTGGAAAGCTCAAGTCAGCTGTAACATAGTCAGCCAAATAGACCCATGACCTCAACGGAAAAGCCACGGTACCTAGATTTCAATTGTATTGCAAACCTAATACCTTGTTCACATACACTAATAGCTTCCTATAAGTCTTAAAGTGAGTATTTCACGTAGAGATCAATTGCACCGAGTTCACATGGATCAGTAGTGCGCCTACGTTGGGACGCGCCCTATGTAGAAAATCGAGCAACACTAAGGTGTTCATAAGACGACCTGGAATCTGTTTAAAAAGCTCCTAAGTATTAGAAAACCATGTTATTACAACTGCTGGTCCGTCTACATAAATGATGATGGCTCTAAACTTGCATAATGATGGATCGTCAGACGTAATATCATCAGTGTGTTCTAACTTATGAGCTTTAATAACTATGAAACGGGGCATCTTCCTAATTCAATTAAGATAGAGAGTTTGTAGTAATTCCTAGTTAATTAGATGTTCAGATGACGAACAAGTATCTTGGAGATGCACCTCTTTATTAGCGAACAACTGAAAAGGTATCCTAAAGTCAATACTGGGCATTGAATTAATAGGTCAAAACCGCCCTACACTTTCTACTAAAACAAATGTGTGAGTACCTGCTGACAATCTTGCTATCTCTTCTAAGCGTGCACGTTAACCTATCCGAAAACGGCTACATCACCAAGTGGTACCGAAATCTAAGTTGGAACAGCATACTAGCTTATCACTTCTCTTTCCATCCTTAACACACAAAACCGGCTTTTGTGAGATACGTGTTCCGATCAAGTGCCAGTGGGTGCACATGAACAGAGCAGAAAGAAGAGACCCTGAAGTTGGCCCAAAAATAACCATTCCCGATGGGCACGAAATCTTAACGCATCAGGATTGGTGTGGGGGAAAACCAGGTTTCCAAACAATAATGCCAGCGAGGATAATGTCCAGTTTATCCTGTCCTTTGTCCATTTCCAACGAAATAAATGCAGTTATAAAACGTTGCTTGCAAAGGTGTGCTCTTGAGCATTTCGTAGCCTTGCTTGAAATACCAGCAAACACTCTCAGACGCTAGCAAGTTCGCAGCCGTTTATGCGAACACTAGTACATAATTTGCCCTAGCGGTAGAGACGGTAATTGCATGAGTTCGGCTACGGTGTACCTACTTGATACTTGAATGGCTCGTTCTCACTGGTTGTGCGAGCCCCAACATAATCTCCACTTTTCGGAGTTTTGCTGGCTAAGACATTGTGATTCCCTGGAGTTCCGAGATCAGCTTGGTCAGAGTCTGCCCCAGGTCTTCACCACCACAGGCAGTCGCAGCCCCTATATATCACAGAGAGATTTACCACCATGCGACTTTGACACCAGGACGGTGGTGGATCTTGGTATTAGCGCTGGGCTTCCTGATGGCAACGCTGGACTCCTTTTCAGCTTTGGACACCCTGCCAAGGGATGAATCCCCTGCTGTACATCGCAGTTCGACGCCCAGGGACACCTCCCACTCATGATGAGGCGGCAAACAGTTGCGAGTACAGTGTATCTAATCTGTCGTAAAGCATGTGGGAACGAATAGATTGGCGAAATGGGTATACTACTGTGCGTACTCGTAGACGAACACCTAGTTGGTAAACTTAGGGTTAAACCAAACACTTCACTATGCGCACATGGGACGCAGAGACATAATGGGGAAGATTTTGAAGTATAAGTTACCATGTTCACAAAGAAATTGAAAAGTGTTCGGAGCGCAAAACATCGAGGAATTCCGGATAAATTCTAGGAATCGGAATATGAACAGCAGGTAGGATTGCTTTGTTGCCATGCGAAGTCTTACGCAAGATCTTTTGCTGATATATTAATATGAGAGAGGCATGTATTACCCATCTATAGGAATTCTATGCGGTTGGACTTCACGTGAAATACTCAGCGGAAAACCCATAAAAGGCGAAGAGCGCGCGATGAATTTACCTTGTTCCCAGTACTGTTGGAAACCTAGGTTTAGGATTTTTTAAAAAGATATTTAGTTAAGCCAATTGCTTGTCGAACTAACGTCCCCAGACCCTAAGGAAAGAAAAATCCGACAAAACGTTAGCGGATGAGATGGAGATGGCTCACTGAAGAAGACCTGACTCGACACGAAGGCGAAGCTGTCACGTCGAGACGAATAACAAGCGTGGACCATCGACTCGGATCACCGCCTCTGTCTGAAGACGTCGAAACGTTAGCCGAAAGTAAATATCATCATCAACCTTGTGTAAGCTCATCAAAGAAAGAATACATATTGATTAGTGATACCGAGGTTCAAGGAAAGTCGGTTTCGAAATCCGACAACATTCACCGATAATGGACGTAGGAGAATGGCCCGAATATTTGGGTGTTGGAATCCACACAACATGTGAAGGTGAATCATCCAGAATGGAACAAAGGAAGAGGTAACTGAATGCACTGTTGTCCATGCAGTGACTCATAAGAAACTACCGATAAATCAAACTAGCGTTTTATGCTACAAAAGAAGACTAGTACTACTTTACACACCTCGGAGGAATGGAAGTTTTGGTTGGCCTGGGATAGGCAATCGAACTATTTATGCAGAGAAGGGCGCCTCTAACCGTTGTCCTATAAGCACCCTCAAACTAAATAGGTGAATAAAAATCAGTTACAACGACCAATAATGCCGAAATGATTTTGGTTTTATTTAGCCGATTTTCACTTTGAAACAGCAGTATTTTATCTCTTTGCAGATCAACGGCTTACTGACAGAAGGTCCGGAGTGTGATCATCTTCAAACTTGTAGCATAATTTTTCAACTTGCTCTTCTAACGGAAGCAAATAACGTAGTGGTAGTGATCTCATTCATTACATCGACGGTCCAACCCACACAGGGTCGGCCCAGTACCGGGCCTCTCATCTCTTTGGGGTCTGGAAATTGGTAACAGACTTCTCTGGGACAAGCTCATTTTTTCCCGTCCACGCTTCAAAGCCCCATTACAGCTCTCCTAGGATTCCAGGGAGAGCCAACTTGGCAATTTACGACATTCCTGACGAAGGTGGAATCTCTTCATGCTGCAACCAAAGCCGTTCGAAAGAAAGAGCTTGGAGACCTTCGTTAATGCTGAGTGCGAGGAAGCGAATCGAACGCTGGAAATACTGCGCAATGCGTAAATGTGCTGACGGCCTACGTAATATAAAGATAATCAATATTATCCAGATATTTTCCATTGATGTACTACTACTTTTCATCAATCCTCAAATCTGCAACTGTTTGTGGTGACGGAACGCCTTCAATCGGCTTAAGAATCTAGAGAGAAAATCTTTTTCAGACAGTGAAATATCAGCCATGTTGAAATGGGATTTGTTCCACAGCCCGAATAGTTTTCAGTGGACGCCGAATGTCTGTTTATTGAAATAGGCATCATAACAGTATTCAGATACTTCCACTCGAAAACAAAATGAAACATCCAATTGAAATGCGAGGCTGGACTGGAGTGTTGTCCACAGGAATATCATTAGTACGTCTCTTGCTCTTCATTCTTTGAAAAAGTAACTTCTCTTTCAATAGTTGTTGAGAAAACAACAGAAATCGAGCTGCGGAAGAAATCCGTCTAACATTTCATTTAACTACAGTGATTCTACTAAAATACTTTGAATGAGGATAGAATAATCCCATTATCCAATATTGATCTCTATTGGGTTTACAATGATTACTCATTCCGAAGCTCTAGTGAATTTTCTTTTCGAAAATTCACTGCTGATAACTTTGCTGGACATAAAATCAGTTCTCTACAGTAATGATCGTTAGACTATCGTTTCGAAAGGTGCGAGGCTGCGTCTCATTCCTCGAAGTTATAAACATTTGTGAAACAAGTGACTGCTATCTTGAAGACTTTAGATGCTATTTCATAATATTGTTACTTTATCGTTTTCTCCGTCGCAGATCTCTCGTTCTTTTTAATGTTGATGTTTGACACGGCTCGGTTATGAGATCGAAAGTGTTCCCCTCCATAAGAAGTACTGCGTGAAGCAGTTGAAGTCTATCACATGTATCACCTGTAGTCTTGTTGATCGTCGAGTGATTCGGGTGGGCACCAATAAATCTTCCATTTTTCCCTGTCGCGTGCGAGAGCAACCCAATGGATTCTGCTCACTCTAGGGACTCATTAAGCATCATATGTTTCTTCAAGGCTTTTCGTGAAGAACTATGACCATCGGGTCGGTGGTCATCGTGCAGTGCGTATGATATCCCTAGGAATCCAGTCACCAACGGCTCTTGTCCATGGGTTGTCGTTCATACGCGTTACGTGTCCGGCCCACCTTATCTTTGACTGTTTGGCGTACAGAACGGCATCTTTGATTTTTGATCGTTGACGCAGCTCGCAGCTTCGAATCCGTTCCCTTAGTTGCATGACACGGGATACTCTAAGCATCGTCCTTTCATCTGCGCGTTCGATAACGCTGAGTGGTTTTCCATTCTGCTTACGCAGCGACCAGGTTTGTGACGCATACGTTAGGGCAGGAAGTACCGCTGTGTCGAAAAGGTGGGCACAGAGCCGGGTGTTGTTCATTCTCTTCGTTACATCCTCGATGCTCTTGAAAGTCCCGAAGCCACTCGTTTCCTTCTGCTCAACTCTGGAGCTAAGTCATTCATCATGTTGATTTCCCAAACTAGATAAAACCTGTCGAATATCGAATCTGCATAGTGTGCTCTATTCGCTGATGTAACAGCTCTGTCAAGGTGGCGGCCGGATTTGCTCATGGGCTCGTTTAGCACTTAGGGCCTGGATCCTGAGATCTGTTACCTTCTCCTCTCATTTTTACCACAGTCATTGTCGGAACGTATTCATGATAGAATTAAATGTAAGAAGTAACCACCGAAACCACTACGTAGATGCGTTAACACCTCTAGTACAAGGTATGCCGCTCATAATACAGCCATGTGACAAATTTCATCACCGACGGCAATAAGTAGGTGTCACCACTTTCAGGTGACAATTATGTATGCGGCATGCGGATTTTTCGGCTACATCACTTATGGAGAAGATGTGAGAGAGAGTATTACGCTAAACATGAACAGCGGCTAGTAAGTTCATAGTACAATGATACTTTTCACTTGTCTCTTCAATTGTCTACAATTTTCGAAACAAAGATTTATGGCATTATTCGTTTTCTTACATATGGAAAGTAACTAAAAAGCAACTAGTCGACTATCAGGGCAAGAATAAAAAACATCATAAGCATAAGTCAACATCCAGTAGCTCATCTGCAACATTCATGAACCGGTGTTTAAGTCATAAATAGGCATTCTTCTTTTCAGTCCGTTTCAGAACATTCTTCATCAGTCAATGGTGATTTAGTCAATTTCCAAGCAGTCCTTGTGTTCTGCCCATTAATCTTGTCGATGAGACAAATAGAAGACAGTGGACTTTCGCTACCCACACATCACTTAGTTATATATTTGTTTCCTCCTTGTGCAATGCTGCTTCCCATCGCAAAAGCAAAACATGGTCCTAGCTGGAACTAAGAAACTCAAAAAAATTCGTTAAGATATTTCTCAACATAACATGTGTATTACATAGAATAGAAGGGATTAGCATCAGGAAGCGAACAGCGAACCATCCTAGTGGACTGCCTTCGCTCATGAACAATGAGCAAAGTATTTCACGGCTTGGGTATAGAATCTTATGCGTAAAAGAAAGCAATCGTGTTCGTCAAATAGAACAAATGTTTTTTATAAGCTAAATCTAATAAATAGGACTCTTAAAACTTGTGCACATCACAGTGTGCAGAGGAGGTACCGAGCAATAAAGGAATACCCGACAAACGCTTCGTCTTTTATTTTTCGAACCGGTGCTGCTCTAAATAGTGACGGTGGGAGAAGACCTTATCTGAAGAATTCATCGTAACTCCCATCAAAAGACCTCTCTATCAAACTGCCATCAAGCCCAGTCTCACAGCAATACAAATGCGCAAAGGTCGAATACCGCTCCGAGAAAAATTCTTCGACTCAGATATCGAGTATGCGACATTATATTGTTCTATTGATGGGCTCGTAGCACTTCCTAAGCAAACTGCGCAGCTGAAAAACAGCATGTTAACGTTTGCCTACCTTTTCTCGCACATAGTAAGAACTCAGTGAAGAAAGAGAAAAATATCTTTGTTGCTTTAATCACTGCAAAACAATATACAGTAATCTACACCCTAAGAAATGGATGCTGTCAGAATTTCATTCGAACTTTAATGAGCAAAGCATTACTTGTTGAAACTCTAGTTAAGCTAGATTTGACAACAACAAATTTATTAAGGAGTCCCATTATGTGAGCTACCAATGGCCATAATGCGAGACATTTCAGTGTAAGTTTCGGTGTGAAAGTGTTGTTGGTGTTGGTGGTCTACACAGGATATCTAATCCAGCTCTACACGTTGACAACGAGCCTTCGACCGTCCGTGCTGCGATTCATCGACGGTCGTTCTGACAACCGTCGAAAAATGACGCTCATCATTGATCACGTGCTGAGATGCGTTATTGTGCTATTATCGTGTAGGTGATATGCTTTTAAAAATTGCAAAAGCTATCAATGAGATGAGCAGAAAGGCTATAAAAATGCAATCGTGAGTTTACCAGTGGTACCATTCTAACCAGCCTTTTCTTAAAAAAAAAGACTTTAAAACAACTGATGACACTGCATTATTTTAAATCACATTGTTAATTTTGCTTAATTTGTAAAGACTCGATAACTTTAATACCAGAAAATACTGTCCCATAGGATTAAGCTGACGTTTCGGCGGATTTCGCCTTCCTCAGAGCCGCTTCCTATGAGATTTCCACTAAGTATGTCACGTAGACACCAACCGCACAGAAATCACTTGTATAGTGTAAGTATGTATAATACTGTATAATACGCATGTATAATGTACATTATACTTCCATGTGATTTCTGTGCGGTTGGTCTCTACGTGACATACTTAGTGGAAACCTCATAGGAAGCGGCTCTGAGGAAGGCGAAATCCGCCGAAACGTCAGCTTAATCGCGAACAAAAAATAATAACACCTCGCGTTTGCTCAACAAAAATACGAAGTCGTGGCAGTTACTGTCCCATAGGGCTCGCATCGAGACCATTGCACTATAACATCTCACGATTCCACTGCAACCAGTCGTTTGCAACTCTCATAGATACGGAAAGAATTCCCAAGTGTCAAAAGTCGATATAAGGGAACCACTGCAAATCAGCTGTGCTGCGAAAGAGTTTAACAGATCGAGGTTAACGACAATGAGTGGACAGATAACTATTTCTGGTTAAAACGGAAAGTGAAAGAACCACACCAAACGTTTCATGCTTTTCATGCTGCTTTAGCGAGTGGGGTCCATTACAACAGTTATGGTGAGCGCTGGCAAGAGCGGGTCTTACAAATGGCAGCTCTAAGTACTCAGTGGTTAACATGATGAAATATGATAGTGATGATGTCATATACAGTTTGTGCTTAACAATGGTACTAAAAATGGCCCAAAAAACACTATTTTAATAAGGCTAAAGGATAAAGCTCTTGGCGTTGATCACTCCTTGAGGGATGCGCCGTGCATTCGACCTCATTAAGTATCGTTGGGTCTGGCCTTTACAATAACTCCTACCCCTACCGATGTGTCGAGCCAGTGTTGCTATCATCCAGACAAGTCTGGTGTCAATTTGCCGCCCCCGGAGGGATGGAAGTCTTGGTGAGCCATGGGCGCGGGGATCGATTCCACGTGTGTCGCAGAGGCGCCTCCAACCACTGCCCCACACGCGCCCCTTACTAGTATGATAACAAGTTTAAATTAAAGTAGCCTTTGAAAAGCAAGAAGTAATCGACATGTTTCAGTTCTTCTCGCTGTACTCGTGCCAAATCTGAAGAACCTGATACCACTAGTTGGTGTAACATCAGGTAGGTGCCATTTTCCTTGCTACCGGTTTGCTGGCTTTCCCTTGCTAAAACGCAATCCGATTTTGTTAAACTACTTATTTTATATCTTGTTATATTGAAAAGCCAACACGAGTTTGTTACTACAATTTATCGCCGCTGACATATTGCAACCAATTGTCCACAATCTTTGATTCCTGCGTTGTGGATCTTAATAGTGGTACTAGTCAAATCTTCTAGAGTAAAGCATCGCTGGAAGTTTTTTCATTCGGCAGTGTCCTTCCATACTGCTCTGAGGAATGCAGAAAGGCCGAACTCTTAGCCACAATATAGTCTTGTTACGGCCTCGGTTTGGCCGGAGAATACAACAAGACATTGATTACTTATACTGAGACTAAGTATAAGTCAATGTTGAAAATTCTGACTTCTAATTCCAGGCATATTTCTGGCTTTGATAATACCCGCCGTCGTTGATGTAACTACGTTCCTTCCATCACATTTGGAAGAAAGCCGTTACACTGATATTGTTATTTTATTGTTGAATAATTCGTTCTATCTCATTATCGGTGTGTTTTTTGTTGTTGTTGGATTAGACACGAACATAAGGCATCTGATAGAATAAGTTTCAACCAATCAAGTATCGCGAATCCTACAAATAAAAATTTGAAGATAAATATGTAAGAACACTTAGAAGCTTGTAATAAAATATGATCCTACTTCTTCTTCTGTCTAAATGTCGACCAAACCGCATCTTTTAATAGAGCACAATATTTTCTATAGTAACTTTATTCCACATGCCTTCCGTTGGTGATTCATGCCTACACAGATGTGGTCGAAGATTACATCACTACGTGAACCAACGATATGTCCAGATAGAAATGTGTCGGCATTAGATATACGAGAATATTTCCACCACCGACATTCTATTAACCTCGGCATCGATCAAATAATTCTTTACATTCTCGCTGATCAAACGGGAGGTGTTATTTTACTCTTTATTCAAGAACAAGCTTACGTTTCGGTGGATTTCGCGTTCCTCAGAGCCTGGAAAGGTCAAGTTAACCGCAGTCTATCCAGCCAAACATTTCCATAAAAGGAAGACTCAGAAAGTGGTGAGTGCGTAATGAAGCTATTCTGTATTCAATGTGATTAAAATCTTGGTTTAGCATTTTCTCTGCTTGGTTATGGACCTGTTTGGCTGGATAGATTGCGGTTAACTTAACCCTTCCAGGCTCTGAGGAAGAAGAAATCCGTCGAAACGTCAGTTTGTTCTTGAATAAAAAATAAAATAACACCTCGCGTTTGCTCAACAAGAATATAAAGAATTATGAGGGCATTGTTTAAACCCATCAAGGCCACGCATATCTTCACCGGACAACAATGATTACTTCAATCAAGGCGTGGACCACACCAGTGGATGTGTCAACAATGAGACAGCAATAGCAAGAGTAAACATCAGAACAACAATAACCATCATGATGCCACGATGAGCAGTATCGCTTTCTTGCCACTCCGCTTCTCAGCTGTCCTTTTGTAATGGAATTATGTCACCGTACATCATTGTAGGAACCTCTGTAGTAGCTACTGACATTGTCAGGTAACCAAGCTTGCCATCACAACTCAACCACGTTCCTGCACCTGCACAACTGTAAAACTAATAGATGAGAGATAGTCTGTACTTCTTTTGTATGTTAACATCTCATTCGCTTAAATATTGTCTTAGTTTTCACCTTCTCGCTTTACCTCACATTGTTGCTCTCAATGCTTAAACTCTCCATAAATATACACAGTATTAATCACTATTTGATGTCACGTTTTGTGTGATCATGACGACCAAGACCATCCGTGATAACTCTCAATTCCAGAAACCCCCCCACTAAACGCTGGACGTGGGAGTCTCCCAACGGAGAGTACCATAACGAAATATGCCATATCATAGTAAATAGAAGGTTTGCTAACCGAAGTCGCTGTTGTCCCAAAATTCTAGGCGGCATCAGACCATCGCTTTTTGGGTGCGGGGTTTCACTTTAAACCACCATAAACTGTGATTTATTTAGTTCATTAGTCGACTAGAAGGTAGGAAGATGAAATTCTTCATAAAATCGACGAGAAATACCATGGAATCATTCAACATCACGTTAACGCTACGAAACCTGAAAATAGGAATGTCACTAAAAGACGTCTACCTCAGAACCACTCGAGCTGATATCCCAGCATAGAATCGCACGAGCTAAAGGTAACGACGAACTCATGTGCGAACATGCGGAAGATCTTAAAGAGAGAAGGGCAGCAGTTGTGGCTGAAGCTGGAGAGGCATAGAAGAGCATTCGCAAAGTCCGCGGAAGCTTCGTCGATTAGAAAGCCAAGATGATTACACTCCGACGCCTAGATGGAACAGTTAAAGCTTCCATAAAGGCAATGGAAAAAATCATTCACGAATACTACTCAAATCTCTTCCTGTTTTCATATGAAATAAAGGGCAATGGATAAGTCGTACCAGCGAGTCTCCTTACCGAAATCCGTCATGCTGGCTCGTCGGTGAAAATTGGAACAGCTCCAGGTCGCACAGGACTAGATCTGAACACCAGGAGAACCTCGAGACCATCCCTCGTAAACACACTGGACAAGAAGTTCACAAGTTACCTGCCAGATTGCAAGGTTTCCATTAAGTGGAAGATCAGCAAGAGTATACCAATGATGGACAACGGCGATCTGCACGATGCAGACAACTATCGCCCAATCTGATGATTGTCGTTTACAAACTTTTCACTAGAGTTATTCCAAACAGGATTGACAGAACACTGGACGAACGACAGCCAGGAAGGCCCTATTCAGTGTACAAAGATTCTTCGTAAGCTATATAAAAATTTCACAACAAAGATATCACCATGTGTTTCTTATCATCAGATTGTTAGATTGTTTTTGTCGGAGAAAAATACCACCATTGTACGACGACATTAACATCGACGTCAAAACAGGGATAAGGCAAGGCGATACTATCTCGCTAAAAATGTTTACCGCCACCCTCCAGAACGTCATGCGAAGATTGGAATGGCACAACATCGCAGTGAAGATCGATGGTCGGCTATTACACCTTATTAGCCGACCTGCTGACATGGTTCTTGCAACAGCAAGCATTAGCCAAGCGCAGCGAATGCTTGCCAACTTTGATAAATCCTGTTGAAGGACTAGTCTTCAACTAAATCTTACAAAAACGATGTTCACGAGGAACGGATTGGTTTCTTATGCTCCATTTACTTTCAACGGAACGAATATCTCCGAATGCTCCAGTTATGTCAGAAATCAACATGTTGAACGACTTAGCTCCAGAGCTGAGCAGAAGGAAACGAGCGGCTTGGGGAGCTTTCAAAAGCATCGAAGATGTGGTGAAGAGATCAAGGAACATCTGACTCCATGCGTCAGTGTGGTCGCTAAGTAAGAAGGATGAAAGATCACTCAGCGCTATTGAACGCACAATCGAAGGGACGATGCTAGGAGTTTCCTGTGCCGCGTAAATGAGGGAAGGGATCCGAAGCTCTATGTCAACGTTCAACAATCAAAAGCTACGTTCTGTACACCAAACTGTAGAAGAGAAACTGGGCCGGACACCTATCTAACGCGTATGGACGACAATCGATGGACAAGAGCCGTTAGTTACTGTATTCCTCGTACTATCAAACGTACTGCAGGAAGACCACCGACCCAGAGATTAGAGTTCTTTATGAAAAATCAAGAACAACGATATAGTGCTCAAAGAGTCTTAAGAGCGAGCAAAATCCACTGGACTACTTTTGCACGCGACAGGGAATAACGGAAGATTTAGTGGCACCCGCTCGAGTCGACGATCAACGGGACAACAAGTGATACAGGTGAATAACGATGTAACAGCACCGAAATGGTATAAACGATGATATGATAACATGATAAATAAATAAGGATAAGATGATGAGTGAGAAGTTGTCTCGAGGTAAGAAACTAGCCGCATCACAGGCTACTGGATTAATATCAGGAAGAGTTTTAACATAAAACATAACTTGACTGAGGAATGCAAGGAGCAAGTGGTAGTGCGGGAGGCGTGAGACCAAATGGCTGGTAGTGCGACCGGCCTGCTGTAATAAACTGGCAAATTAGTATGAGGAATGGTGTCAGATAGAATACAACAGTAGCAGTGCAATGAGATTAATATAGTAGGAGACATGTATAAGAATGAAATAGCTTAAACGCATATGTTTCAATTAAGATAGCTACAAATAGCATTTGCGAAAGTGATTAGTACTGTGTATACTAATGAAGCGCCTAACCACTGAGATCTACAATGACAGTAAAGCGAGAAGGTGAAGGCTAAGACAGTATTTAAGCGAATGATATGTTAATGTGCCAAAAAACTGTAGAATATTTCTCAACCATTCGAGATACAATGCGATGGTAGGCTTAGATACTAGAGAATGTCGTATGTTACAAGAGAGCTTCCTACAACAAACTACGGTAGAGCGATTTCATGATGAAAGCAGAACGGAGATGCCGAGTGGCAGAAACATCGACCGACCAGTGAGCCTCACTAGTCGGCCGAGGTCCTTATATTACAGCTGTTGAAGTCTGGATGGTTTTCATGAACCACTAGTGACGCGGAAAGTGCTTTTTATAAATAAGGGAGGAAAGAAGATGCGTACGGCTATTGGCCAGCAGCAAATCTTTTTCTTTACAGCAGTTGCAGTTGACCCACCACTGCTGTTGTTGTTGTTATAAGTGTTTTGCGTCACGTGTAGCTAGGAGTGAATCGCTATGATAAGATGAATGAAGTTACTATAGAAAATATCGTGTCTTATTAAAAGGTATTTATTGATCGACTTACCGACATGTGGATTCGAGAGTCGAGCAGAGACACAGCAGCGACTTACCGGTGTACTTGGATGACTCGTCTTTACTGGTTGTGCAGGCCCCAGCATAGTTTCCATTTTCTCGGAGTTTTGCCGGTTTAACCGTTGTGGTTCTCTGGAGTGCTCAGGTCAGCGTAACCAAAGACAGCAACGTTGCAGCTGTTGTTGTATTTAAATGTCAATACACGGCATCTGATTTTGAATTTGACTGACTATTTCACTACCGGACTAATGCAAATATTGAGTAGCGCATTGGGATATTAATCGCACTCAAAACTAGATCTCCGGAAACACTTAAAGCAGAAGCAACAAAGTTTAGGATTCAGCCGGACAACGCATCACCATTCTATTAAAAAGTCAAGAACACCACCTTTTCAAATGAATTATGATAACAACTTTGAATTATTAGACATCCACGTTTCCACGTGCGTGATTGATCATAGAAGTACGGAAGTGACGTCAAGTTGAGAAGATAATGTGCTCTACTGAAAATCAAGACGGCGCGAAAAATTAACTACAAAAGCCTGCCATGAGAGTGTGGTCGTTCTCGTGTACGTTTCTCAACTCATCCTTGAAGTGCTTCAGAGTCTCTGTTGTAAAGAAGCTTATCATTTTTACATTATTGTCTTTACTTATTGTTCAGCATCGTGATGAGGACAAGTGTGAGTCGTGAAGCTCCTGTGTTAAGGGCACCGAGGAGGCGGGATTTTTCTGTTGCAGATCTAGCAATACTTGAAAATATAGATGATCTGTTGAGAAGTTTTAAGGAGAGTAAAGGCGAAAAGAGGTTTGCAGGCCAAATTTTTCTTTTCCTTCTTGTTGGAGCATGTAGTTTAACAAAAATACTTCTATGGTATGTGGATGTCCACATCGTTTCAAGGATAAGGTCTTTTATAGCCGCAGTGATATCCTGGCTCATATACAAAGCTATAACTGGACTAAATCTATATTAACTATCATGAATGGATTAAACAGATCGTCAAGTGATGTGCGATTTCTCTGCAATGTCTTCCATGGAATAGTGGATTTCATCATATCTGGTAAGTATTTTTATACTTCTATATAATTTTTGCCTATACTTTCTGATCATTGTGGACCCAGCATGCATCTGTTCTTATTTTAGACAGCTGTGCTCCATCACTTGACACTTTAACGCTAACGATAACCGCCAGTAGTTCTGAACTCTGTGCATTCCTTAGTAATTTACCTGACAATGAAGTGATGTTTTCTGGTGCTTCTTTGTGGTTGACATACGCAAAGTTGGTTGTGAACACTACTGGGACTAAGGTTAGTAGTTCTATACTTCTACATAAGACAATGTTAAGAAATCAAAGAGGATGAAGTTCTTGGCATTGATCAGTCCCTGAGGCATGCACCGTGCATTCGACTTCACTAAACATCGTTGGAGATGACTGAATTGGTCTTTACAATGATTCGCGGTGGCTGACCGAGGTATCGAGCTAGTACTGCTGTCCTCCCAGACAAGTCTGGTACCAATTTGCCGACTCCGGAGGTATGGAGGGCTTGGTGAGTCTAGGGAGCGGGATCGATCCCATTCGTATTGCAGGGCTCCTCCGACCACTGGACAACGTGCACCCTTTAATACAAGGTTATAGAATTGCTTTTTATCCCCTATCTATGCCAACTGGATCTGTAGAAGTCTATTCACTGGTTGATTTTCTACATGATGAGTGGGCGGTGATTATATCCTTTGTCGTTTCTGATCTTCTCTTTAACAGCTTGTAATTGCATGAAATTGTATATTTTAGATACCCAGTACGGATTGGAACAACCTATTCTCTCCAATGAAGAAATGGCTCAAAAGTTTTGGTGGCGAAAGCCTTATGTTCTGCCTTCGTGCGTGGTGTTCCTTTATCAACCTAATCACACCAAAATCAATTACTGGTTCGTCTCTTCAAGAATGAATGTATATTTCCACTTTCGAGAAAATTCTCCGTTTAGCCATTTTGGAACGCAAATTGTTCAATTCACTACTGCACCCTATGCGTTCTGAAACGGTTATTAAGAAGTTAGTGGATCCGTCACCGATTATAAAGACATATATGTCTTTACTTTCTGTGTTTTCTACAAGGATTAATGACTTTTTTGAAAAGGTTAGAAGCTTACTAAATTTACCACTTCATGCTAGATATCATTTTATCGAGAAACATGTATTACTCTCGTTTTTAGTTGATTATCTGTTTCCTCCAATTCCTGGTTGGAAGTCCTGTTTGTGTGATTCGTGACTTTCGGAGTGTTAAGGACGAGGTTACAAAACCCGTATACGCAACGAGTTTTAATCTTGTTCTTCAAGGAAATCCCATTGAATTTTCGTAGTAAGCTTTCAATTATGTTCTATAATATAATTTTTGAAGTGAATTCTCCAATATCATTACCTCTACCACGTTTTATTTATTCCACCCGAAAGTCAACCTTTCCTCTCTAATTTTCTCTGGTACTTTCAGTTTGTTATATGTCTTAGCTGCAAAATCTCAAAAAAAAATGGAATTTTTCTTTTTAACCAGTTCCAAAACAATTTTCTAAACGAATGTGATTTAACCTCGGTAGCAAAGTAATCGGCACATATTTAAATTGTTGAGCTTACACAAGGTTGATAAACAGTTTTGTTCGGCTATCGTTTGGACGTCTTCGTCTTCATCAAAGCGGTTGATCCATGCCGGTGATCCACTGTTGTTCGTTATCTCGATGTGGCCCCTTCGTTGTAGTACTTAGACGAGGCCTTTTTAGATGAATACTGCAGAATGAGGCATGCTCACCCGGCAGTTCTCACTAAACAGGGCGCTTGTTGTTGAATCCAGAAGACCAACGTCTGTGGGCCATCAACTCGGATCATTAGTTCTGGTGAAGACAAGGGCGTCGAAATGTTAGCCGAGCAAATCTACTTACCAGCTTCGTGTAAGCTCAGCACTTTAAATCTATATGAACCAGTTCCAGTTTTCTTACTCACGAACGGTTTTACCATCCGTTTGAAGACGCACTAGTCCATGTGATTCCGGTAGTGAGCGGTATTCTTGGTGTCACTTCGGAGCAAGGTTAGTGCATAATTCACGTATCACTGTATATTTGCAGGCCTCGTTTAGTTCTTGCAGGTGTTCCCGAATGCGAGTTTAGCCCAGAGTTAATACGAAAATATAGCGTTTTTCTATGTCAGACTCTGCGAATTGCTTGTAGTGGAACAAATGAAAGTTCGTAAAGTTCTGCTGTTTTTTCATGCGATCTAATGTTTAACGACTATCTTTATATGGTGTTACAGGGTCTTGTGCTGACTCCGTATGTCTCTGTTTTGCGGCGTTAGCGCGCCGCATTGAGGCTGTCGAAGATGTTGGCATTCGACATCAAGAGTTGCAGTTGCTTTTTCTCCAGGTGAAGACATGGGTGGATGAAAGCAGCTGTAGTGCAAAGGAACTAGAGGTAATGCCCATTATTATCCCAATTATCTTAACCTGTGTCACCTGTAGTCCCGTTGATCGTCGAGTGACTCGAGAGGGCGCCAGTAAATGTTCCGTTTTTCCCTATCGCGCACAAGAGTATCCCAATGGATTCTGCTCGCTGTAGGACTCATTAAGCATCATATCTTTCTTCTAGGCTTCTCGTAAAGAACGCTGACCGTCGGGTCGATGGTCTTCCTGCAATGCGTTTAATATCTCTAGGAATCCAATCACTAACGGCTTTTGTCCATCGATTGTCGTTCGTTCGCATTATGTGTCAGGCCTGCGTTATCCTCGAATGTTTGGCATACAGAACGGCATCCTTGATTTTTGGTCGTTGATGCAGCTCGGAGCTTTGGATCCCTTCCCTTATTTGCGTGACACTGGATACTCCTAGAGTCGTCCTTTCAACTACGCGTTCAATAACGATGAGTGAGTTTCATCCTGGTCATGCAGCGATCACGTTTATGATGCATTCATTAAGGCAGTGAGTACCGTTGAGTCGAAAAGGTGGACACGGAGTCGCGTGTTCCTTGTTCTCTTTTCTACATCGTGCTCTCGAAAACTCCCTAAGCCGCTCCTTTCCTTCTGCTCAGCTCTAAGTCGTTCATCATATTGATTTCCCGTCCTAGATAGACTTAGCTGGAGCATTCGGAGATATTGGTTCTGTTGAACGTGAATGGGGCAGACGAAACCAGTCCGTTCCTCTCGAATATCGTTTTTATGAGATTTAGTCGAAGACCAACCTTTCCACAGGCTTTATCAAAATCGGGGAGCATTTGTTCCGCCTGGCTAACATTCGGTGTTATAAGAACGATGTCATCAGCAAAGCGAAAATAGTGTAATTGCTGAGGTTCACACGACGTTCTCGAGCGTGGCGTTAAATAATTTTGGTGAGATGGTATCGCCTTCCCTAATCTCTCTTTTGACGTCAATGTTAATATCGTTGTAGAGTGGTGATACCATGGTTTGTGAAATTTTTCTACAGCTCACGAAGAATCTTTATACACTGAGTAGGCACTCCTGGACTATCAAAGGTTCCTATGACTGCTTATACCTCAAGCAGATTGGGCGATAGTTGCCAATAGCGTACAGGTCACCCTTCTTGAACAATAACACGGTTTTGATGGTCTTCCACTAAGGACCTTGCATTCAGACGGGTAACGTGTGAAGAGCCGATCCATTGTCTTTACGAGGACTGGTGGAAGGTTCTTCAGGTGTTCTGATCTTATCCTGTCCGGACCTGGTGCTGTTCGATTTTTCACCAACGAAATGGTATGTCGGATTTCAGAAGGGAGAACCGGTGGTACAACATATCCATCCTCCTATATTTCATATGAAGGAAGGTGGACATGGCTATCGAAGAGATCTAAGTAGTATTCGTGAATGATTTTCTCCATTGCCTTTCTGGACGCTGTAACTGTTCCGTCTGGGCGCCGTAGTGCAATCATCTTGGTCTCGTAATTGGCGAAGCTTCGGTGGGACTTGCGAATACTTTTCCCAGTCTGTCCAGCTTCGATCACTACTGCTGTCTTCTCTCTTTAAGATCTTTTATCGCCAGCCTGCACCGTTTTGAAAATTCGGACGTTAGTTCGCGGTGGCTTGCAGCCCGTGGCATTCCACGCTGGCGTATCAGCTCGAGTGTTTCTGGAGACTTAGATGTTTTGTGTATTTGCTGTAAAAGATTCATCTACTTCGCGACCAGTTCACTGCAAACTTTTGGCCAAATTAACATACAGAGCCCAGTATCGCACGCACATCTTGGCATATAAAGGCTAATATTCTTACGTGTTTAGATACTCAGCACAGGGGAAAGTTGTCCATGTCTTAATTCGCCTGGGTCAAAGAGCAAATGCGTAGTTACTTTTGTTGCTGTTTGACTCTGTCTGCTTGCTGTGGAAGTGTTACGTGACCTTATGAGGACAACGATGCTTTGATATTGGAAATAAGTGAATTTTTTGTGAAAAATGATTCGTTCTAGTGTGCTCTTTGTCATTTACTTCTTCCTCGAGATCTTACCCTTCATGCAAACACCGTGGGAGAATATCCAGCGAAAGACATACTTTCTGCACTTCTTGGAAAGCCTTCTGCCAAAGTTAGGTATGCTACGGTTTAGGTCTTCGATTTTCACATTAAAACTCACTGATTTATATGTATGGTACTGGACTGAATAATCAATCCAGGTTATAGTTCTAGCACTTTTTTTAGTGATTTTCTCGAGCTAATTCCTGGAACAATATGTAGTGGACTGGAAACTAATGGAATCGTGTTAAAACGCATTGGAGAACTTTGTTATCTCATTGAGGCGAATCTGGAACGCTTCACAGTGCGAGCACTCCTTAGTACTTGGGATAGTATAGCAACAATGCTGAGGAGATATATCAAAGAAGTAAGATTTTGAGACGCAGATATGAAAAAACTTTATTTTGTTTAAACTCATGTTGTGAAGTTTCGAAAATTTTCTGAATTGCTATAATTTTTAGATCGACGACATCAATGAAGGGAGTTTTCTGAAACCAGACTTTTCCACAACTTTCAACTTTTTAAGGTTACTTTTCCGAGCTGCTAACTTCGCAGACGAGGTTTATTATAAGCGTTTGTTCTTAGTGGTTATATTCTAAGACATAATCACCTATTCAGGAGGTCGATATAGATTTAATAAAAAAGTGTTCATCCACCTTTAACGGTCTTTACCTGGAAGTGCAAGGCACTGTGAGACATGAAATTGATAACAATGCTGAAACTGTGCTACATGGTGTGTGTGGGAACGCAGTTTTCCTAGAAACGGTGCGTTCTCTTTGTTCATATGTTAGGCATGAATGGACCGTTTGTGAATTAGCAGGAAAATATTTCACCTTAAACGCTTGCTTGAATTATTCCAGTCATTATATTCCGTAGGTCTGATCCGGGAGCTTCACCTAGTGAAGACAATTGCAGAATTTTTTTTATAGCACCCATCTTTCACACCTACTTTGTGGTTTCCAGCACCTCTTGCATTCGATTCGTTACATCGCATCCATCATTCACAAAGGTCTGCAAACGTTTCGTGTGTGTGTTCAACTGCTGCTTGAGGATTTTCCTTCCCATTAATGTCGTCGAATGCTGGTCGAGTTGGTTCCCAGAGTACCGAGGTAGCTGTGCTAAAGCGCTCCCATTTCAGTTGCAGAGAATGGGTTTTCACCAAACAAGTCTGGCTTCAACTTCACGACCTCTGAGGATTGAAAAGCCTGGTGTAAATACAGGGCAGAGTGGGATCTGCACTGTGCCCATGGTGACCTGCATCACTAACACTGCGACTGGCGTCGTTTCGATTGCGAAATATTGGTCATTTTTCAGTTATGCTGCGTCAATCTCTACATTAGGACCCTTAGTAGTGTCGCAACTATCTACCCATTCAGTTCAATTCAAGAAGAGGAAATGTGTTCAGGTACGTGACAGAGAAGAGTTAATGTCTATCCACACACATAGATACTTGAATGACCAGTGTCGGCGAGGAATCGTCCTGTTGTCAGTACAGTCTCCATTCGAGTTGTGATTTGCTATACAAGCAATATTTGCTTTGAAACCTCTTTATTGTCGTTCAATAAATAGCCCATCTTAATTTAGTGTTTTCTTCTTTCAGGATCTTCTATAGAGTTTAATGCACTGGGAGAGGTAGCGACTTTTGTTAAACTGATACAGATAGTGAGCAACAAACTAAAAAGTATGGCTCATTCTGTCAAGGTTGCTTTTCGCTCGAGTAGTTACTCTACAATAGTTATATCACCCAAACTTTTGTTTCAGAACGAGAAACCTTCACGTTTTTTATTCGTTAGTTATCTCTCCATTCTTAAACTATGTCAACAATTGTTTGATACGATCGAAAAACCAAATTTGGTGGGATTTTGTGCTTTCCTTGTAGTTCTGCTTTGCTTTTTTTTTCTTTTTCCGTAAACGTCTTATTCTATCAGATTCGTAGCATGTTCTTGACGCTGTCTGAAGTTCTAAGCCAAATCCATGCAAATATTTTGGACAGCAAATTACCTGGGAAGGATATACGGGAAGAAGCGGCAGCTGTTTTTACTAGTGTAGGTTTTGCTTGTTTCCTTTAACGTCTAGGTGATGTCTGTTCAACTACAACGTTATATGTCTAGATCTTGGAGTCTGTACAGGATAAAATTTCGGGGCCATACGACAGCGGACTTCTATCTGGTTGCGAAGAATTATTGGTAAGGTTGCTGGGTAGAGGTGGCTACCTTTATGCAATGATTAGTGTCACTGCATGTAAGCTCTGGATGAAGACTTTTGCTGAGGCCAAGTCACTGAACTACTCTACGAGGATGAAGTCCGTCTTTTTTATTACAATCCTTTCTTGGTTTTATTGTCTTGCAAATTGTTCTTTCCAGGAATGTATTGTTACCACTTATTAATAGGCGAGTGATTCACGCTCCTGGTTTATCGAACCAGACGTACTCTAATGGTAAAATTGATAACTATACTGATGATGCAATATCTGCTGCTGTACGTCCTGTCAAGTTTCAATATTAAGCGTTTTATTCCTTCAAAATTCTGAAAAAAAATGGGAGGAAAGGAAAATAAGAACTGGTATTTTGTTGTAGTTTAAGAACTTTACGGTTTTCTTAGTTGACATCGCAAAAACTATACTCTAGTAGCTAAGAGACAGGTGAAACGAAGGACACGCATGGTGTGGTAATGAACGCGTTTGCCCGCGGAAAGGACAATAGCGCGTTCGTTCTCCACGAGAGACATCTGCGGTCCGGAGTTTTGCAAATATCTCAGGATCATTGTAGTTATACTTTAGTAGTTTTTAAGCAGCTGTACAGTTAGATGAGGTGTTATTGGAGAACATAAAACATATGAGTTCATTAGAAGACGGATACTTCTCTGGTTTTGATTGACAAATGGTTATTCCAGTTTTGCAAGCATTCATTCAATCCACGGAAAAACAAGAGTTTTGGTAACTTTTGCTAGAGTAGAGTACTTCTGTTTGCAGTCATATTCCGAATCTCGAACACCTAATTCATACGTTACAAATTGGTGCAATGTAACCGAAGAAGGAAAACGAACCAGCAAAATGTGTGGGACTTTCGAGTACAGCGTGTTATCTTCGTTGCGAACTAGGAAGAAACGGTGATTCAACTAAGTTGTTTAATTAGTTTGCTTTGTATTAAATTTCTGGGTGTATTTGCCTAGTATATGGATGAAAATTTGAGTACATCCATACTTAATTAGGAGTTGCTCGGACAATCAGTGCAGCGAAAATTTGGATTCCGCTGGGACCGCAACCACTGGGCGGGTAAGGGGCTCGCCTGTATTGATTGAGTCAACTTTTATTAAGGTATATGTCAATATAAGTTTAGATCTTTTCAAATATATTGACTTCATGGATTGTAGGACGGAAGGATAGGTGAGGTAACTCCTCGTCGCAAATCAACGCCACATAGAAAGCGGCTAAACATGGATTCGCTGGACGACGATTCGGTAGAATACATTCCTATCACTTCGACCGAGTCTGCGAAAAAGATGAAGCTAACTGAACGGCAACGTGAGATGTTCAGCGAGAAGAGGTTTTTTAGCTTCCATATTCGTTTTATTAATTTTATAAGTTATTTGCTTCACCATGCTTTCACAGCTGCACTTTTTACGTTTCACCCAGAAAACGTATATGTCGATTCCTTACATTTCCCTTTTACCTGACCTTATCCAAAATTTTCGAACGTTTTCGCTACAGCTACACTATTCGCACAATGGAGTGGCTTCATTTACGTTGGAAATGAAGTGCAGGAAGTTTTCAATAATTCCAGAAATTTCCAAAATGCTCCAGAATTTAACAACTTTGTGTATGCGTAACTTAAGACTTCACGTTTTGCGACATCTTAGCTATATTGTTTGAATACTTCAAACCGCTAAAAATGTAAAACAAGAAGGGCCGAGTACATTTAGGTGTTCTGATTCACCACATATAACCTGTTACAGTTGATAGTTGCTGTGCTTCATTTATCGCTATTCAGCAGTGCTTGGATGATCTTTTTGTCTAATAAACTAATGGTCCTTTAACATCGTAACTTCCACGTGTTCATACCATATTGAGGAAAACTTAAGAGTGTTGTGGGTTTAAAAACATTTTCTTGGAGAAATTTTCGAGTCTTCACATACTCGTTCACAGGCATAATGTAGTTGATTATACGGAAGATTTTATTACCCATCTGCATAAGCGGGCTAAACCCCATTTCTCAGCTCAGGCGTTATCCACTACACTAACTGAGGCCCCTGCTTTGCTTTTCTCTTAGTCAGTTCTTTACTCTATCGGTGTAGTCAGCTATCAAGAAAATAATAGACAGTAGGTAAACGTTGAACATTGTAATTTCGGCTGCAGTTCAAACCTAACTAGGTTCGATACCGGTTTGTGCTCCTTATCGTTGAAGGTGGTTGCTGATAGCAGCATAGAGTAGAAAACTTGCGAAAGGAACGGCAGACAAGGCCGCAGTTGGTGTGGTACGGTAAGAATAAACTCATGTTCAAAGTCCACATGAGATTCGGACTTTTGCTCACATCTCAGCATAGTTGTGGTTGTGTTTTACATAATATCGTACCATGGAAGAAGAATAGGCAGTAAATTAGTGTTGGAAATTGTGCTCTCTATTTAAGCATGTATAGTGTTCAATGACTTCCAGTTTGAACAAAATTGTGCCGACTTCTACGATCTTGATCGTAACTGCTACTCCTGAAGGGAGCAGTTCTTTACAGCGGGGATTATGGCGTCTGATATTGGGGTTTTAGAATAGGTGATCAGAATTAGTCTGTAGAATTTTTCGTTAATTTACGACAACTCCGCAATGCAGCGTCTACAATGCAAGAACAGCAGCGCCTCCTTCTGAGACAACAATTTACAATATGATCGGCGAGCTGTTCCTATCCGAATTCCATGATGCATCTTCCCCGATTTGACCAACTCTTGAGATTGTCTCACCAGTCTACGTCGTGGAGAGGAGCCTCCTGTGTGGTTTGTGATGTGTCTAGAGCTTTGGTGGTTGGACAATTTTTTTCCCTGCTATGCTATTCATTTACCAAGTCGTAAACACAGAATTTCGACTTTCATGAATCGTACGGAGGTTTCCATCTCGAGATTATGTTAATTCTAGTGCAACGGTGATTCACATCGTTGGTTTAATTACTGGTATCAAGGCTTAAAAAATGAGATATCCGACTCTTGTGAGTTGTTTTTCTGGTTCTGTGAACCGTCTATTCTTTATCGCAGGTCAACACTCAACGATCTTGTTGTCCGTGCTTAGAGCAATGATGAAGGTAAGGCGTTAGGTTAACCGAATATGTGAAACACTAAGATATCACGATCATATAGACTAATTTAGATATGTATGCAGATTTGATATAAGTTACACCTTGCCGAAATTCCAGCGGCCATATCATTGAACCAGCAATAGATGTCCTTAATATTGTGTTAGGCGAACTGCTGATATGTAAAACCATACTAAATATTTTAGAATGTGGTTTCACTGCAGCACTTTCAGAGAACGAATGCCGTTTCTTGACGATGATTCACAACAATCAGCCGTTATTGCTCATTTGCCAGAGCAATTTGACACGGAATCCTCACAAGCTGTGTAGGTTGTCTTCCTGTTTCAAAAGGAAGGAATTTATTTGTATTAGTTTCCACTAATGAATTGTACCTGGATATTTCTATTTATTTTTCGTAGCACCTATATGTGAGTTTTAGCTCCACTAACACGACTGAGTCGCGGGGAACCAACACAGCTGAAAATAAGAAAAGTGACAGTTGTGTCATGGTCGAAAACGGAGTCACTGGATCCTTTCAATGTAATCCAGTGCATATGAAAGAGGAATTTACGGCAGTGCAAACCGATTGTAAAAGTCTCAGAAGGATACCCAATGTAAAACTCAACTTTGATCAGGTAAGCGGCCGCACGATGTCTTCGTTGATAGAGATGCGTGCAAACCGCGTTGTTGTGTCCAATAACTGACTTATTTGTTCATTTTTTTAAAATGACCCATCATCACATCTATTGTGGCGAGTTCCACGGCTTCTTGTATCGGATTCATTTTCTTCCTTCTCTGCATGTACATATATATACATGTACATATAAATATATATGTTATACATGCATATATATAGGCATGTGTATATGTACGTGTATATATATATATACACGCACACATACGTATATGCATATATGTGTATATACATATGTACATATACACCTACACAAACATGTACATGTTTTTGGGCGCGTGTAGCGCAGTGGTCGGAGGCACCCTGTAATGCATATGTGATCGATCTCCGCACCTATGGCTCACCAGGCCTTTCATCCCTCCGAACTCGGTAAATTGGTACCAGACTTGTCATGAAGTATAGCTGAACATACTTAATGAGAATATCGACACATCGGTAGGCCACCGCGAGTCGTTGTAAAAACAAGATATACATTTAATCACCTCAACCGATGCTTAATGAAGTCGAATGTATGGCGCATCCCTCTGAGATTGATCAATGCCGACAGCTTTATACTTTATAGACATATTTATATATATACATATACATATATATATATATATATATATATGAAGTAGCGATACATTATAACGGCTTGAAAGGAATGCTTCAAAAGCAAGAATTTTCCGAGATTAGTTCAATCTCTAGGCTGGCAAAACTATGGCTATGATTGAGTGGGAAGCATATGATATAGAATCTAATCAGTATTCGTTTGTTGGTAGTGGAGATGAGGTTACGAAACAGGAAAACTCCGGACGGTTACATTTTATACGCGCTAAGCTAGTGCTTTGGTCAATATCGCTTGGTGTTTTTAAAAATAAAAGCGCTAAAGCTTTTCCTTTTTGTGTTATTAAAAATGGATGATTTAAACTTCCTGAGACTTCAGAAAACACCCTCCAAATATGGAGCTCGGAGAACAAGTGCAAGTAAACACATTGAGAATATGCAGGAAGCAACTATAGAAGTCCAATCAAAATCAGAACCTAGCACTTCTGTTCCAGCTAGCGAGGTACATCTAATTGAACTTAGCTTTTAATTTTATTGAAATACCAATTGCTTGTCATAGCATAAATCCATGATCTTAAATCAACATTTTACATCTCATATCAGTTTCGTGCCAAGTGAATACCTTGGAGGAAGGAGAAAACTTTTAGGAGTTGGAGAAGTGGGAACTATTGAATGAAGATGGTCATGCAGTTAGCCACAACAGTGTATTGGTTTTACGCGAAATAGAAGATGTTCTGAATGTTAGGGAGCCGTTGAACACAAGTATAGAGGAAAGTGATACTAATGATATTGACAGGGATATTTCGCGAACGCCAGAAAAGGAGTCCAGTGCTGCAAAGTAAATACAATTTGTTCAAGTTTCCCTTCGCCATGTATCAGTGGGAACGTTTGGTTTTAGGAAAATGGAAGATGTACTTGAACCAACGATTGTTGAGAGAATCATCGGTACTCCTGGTATATTGAAAACGGTCAAAACTCCATCTACTTCAGAGAGAAAGGTAATGACTTTTATAGAGATGTTGTGTAAATGAAGTCAACGTAGCTGTTCAAAATTTAATGGTACGCGTTTTCAACTATTATTACCGTAAGTATTCTGTTCTCTTCTCGGAAAATTCTGCTAGTCTTCAGCTGTGACAAATAGTTGTAGGGCTGCATCCCCTCACATTGTTTTTTGTTTATCATTATCGTGTTGTTTTACGCCCTAGTGACTATGCTCGAAAATAATTTCACTTTCGACTTTGGATGATGTCAGCCCATGTTAAACAATATTTTATTAATTAGAATAAAAATTAGTCCAGTTTTTTTAATCCTTGGCAACAAGTGTAAGTTGCCATAGTCAATCAATATGCTTTTGATCACTCAAAGCCCCCAAAACATTTCTATTCTCTTTACTTTTTGTCATGACTCATATTTCAAGCAGCGATCCATTAAACAAATGAGGCTTTGCTCAATTGAACCCAGTGTTTCAGAATGCAACATTGTTATTTAAGGCTGCTCTAGCTACCTTAAAAAATCTTCAAATTAAAGTTTCTTGCTCAGTTTTCTTGCAGGCATTTGAATTTTAAACGAAACTTATGTTAAAACAACATTTGAGAATGGCTATATTCATAATTGGAGGGTAAGGTAAAGAATCTTCTTTGAAATACGCATCGGCAATAGTCAGGAAATTTTCATAAATGCGTCAAAGTCAATTTGTTTGTTTGTAGCCTCGAAGAGTTCACTTTGATGAAGCTATGGAAAACCGATGTTCTGCTGTTAAACCAGTTGTAAATGTGGAAGTTGGTGAAATAGGAGTAGCTGAGGAACAATTTCCTGCGTCGTCTGAAGCAACGTCAAAACAGTCCACACCGAGAAAGCCATTTTCTCACCTGCAGCCGGCTATTGCAGAGGTAGTTCTGCTAGTAACAATAATGATAGTAGTGGTAGTAATAATAGTATTATTATTTCGTCGTTTTCTCTCTCCGCAATCGCGAGGTTTTTAAACAGCATACATTTACTTCCATACAATAACACATAGAACACAATCGTAACTGACGTTTCGGTAGAATCGCCTTCTTCAGAACCTGGAAGAGTACACTAATACGCTACTTAAGAGAAACGCTTCAAGAGCTCAAACAGAAAGATGAAAATCTGATTCCACCGAGGAAGAACAGCAGCTCAAAGTCGCATATGGTTGACGGCTGCACCACTTCACATCAACGATCGATACGAAAGTAAGGGGCGAGATTACGTGTGATCTCGGGGCATTCCTCCTTGCTATTCATTGTTGGATTTTTGGCATTTATCTAAAAAGCCTAAAGGAGTTTGCGCGTTGGTGTTTTAGTCTCTTATGGGAGGACAGCGACTTTTACATCAAAATCGACTCCGCCGTGCTTTTGTATTCTATGAGTCCCTAGTGGCGTGTCTTGTCCTTCTTTTCGCTTTCCATCTAGGTGTTTTTTCATGCGGATACACAAAGGTCTACCCGTTTCGCCAATATATTCGTCTCCGCAAGTACTACAAGGGATCAGGTATATCGTACATGAACTCACGCAGTCACCGTCCCTGCCATAAGGGCAGATTACGCAATTTTCTGTTTCGCATGGACTTTCGTACAGGCGATTACAAACTAATTGACGAAGAGTTTCGGGTGGTATTTCTACTATCGCAACCGATTCCTCTAGATCTGCCTTTCTTAAGCATCGTTTTGTAGCTATACTTATCGCTAATAAAATGAATCAGAAACGGGATTTTTTTTTGACCAAGTTTTTGGCTTTGAGGCGTCGTTTTTCTTCTAAACTTATCTCATGGAATTACTATTTCGTAACCATTGGAGATGGCTATTTGCCGAGCCAAGTTGTGCGATTCTTCCTTTAGTTCCTTATTTGTGCACTCAGAGGTGGCTGTTCGAAATATGTTTCTTAAAAGTGCCCTCTGTGTGTGGGTGGGAAGAGAGGAAATGAACCAGGATGTTCTTATTACTTGGTTTCCGGCACCACTTTGTCATGTAACCGCTAGTCGATAAGTTGACTTGAACGTTAAGAAATAGAAGCCAGTTCTCTTTCAGTTTCTCCCGGGTAGATTTGATGTACTAAAACTGCTCATTCAATAATTCAAAGCATTTGTCCATCGCCTAATGAGTAGAGAAAATGACAAGAATGGCTAGAATAGAAGCACCCGTTATCGATCTCCGGTTGCTACTGTACTGCAGATATATAGATGGTTGTTTTATCATCTTCTCTACGCAGAAGATGGTCGAATGTTTTGAATTATTGAATGAGCAGTCTGACTACGTTAAACTCACCCGGAAGAAACCGAAAGAATGGCTCCCACTTCTCAACGTTCAAATCAACTTAAGGAGTACTGACAAAGTGGTACCGAAAACCAAGTAACAAACATCCCGGTTCATTCCCTCTCTTCCCACGCTTCACACACAAAGAGGGCGCCTGTGAGAAACATGCTTCGAACAACCACCTCTGTTTGCACCACCAGGGAACTAAAGGAGGATTTGCGCGACTTGGCTCGGCCATCTCCAATGGCTACGAAATAGTTATCACACAAGATAAGTTTAAAAGAAGAACGACACTCCTAAGCGAAACACTTGGCTAAAAGAAAGTCCTGTTTGTCTTGCCCTTTATTAGCGGTTAAATAAGTGTAACGATGAAGCGTTGCTTAAGAAGGGCAGTTCTAGAGGGAATTGGTAGCGATAATTGAAATACCACCGAATACTCTACGTCGCCAATTAGTTCGCAATCACCTGTATGACCGTCTGTGTGAAACAACAAATTGCGTAATTTGCCCTTACGGCAGGGACGGTGACTGCATGAGTTCAGGTACGATATATCTGGTCTCTTGTAATGATTGCGGAGACGAATATATTGGCGAAATGGGCAGACCTTTATGTATCCGCATAAGAGAACACCTAGATAGTAAACGAAAAGCAGGACAAAGTACCCCACTAGGAACGCTTAGGGTACAAAAGCATAACGGAGACGATTTTCTTACAAGAGCTACGATCCTCGCACAGGGTGCCAAACACCAGCGCGCAAGCTTCTTGAGGTTTTTTGGATAAACCGAAAACTCCACATTGAACAGCAGGAAGGAATGCCCCGGCTTTCTACGTGATCTCGCCCGTATCTTCTTATCGATCGTTGATGTGAGGAGGCGCAGTCGTGAACCATATGCGACGCTGATCAGCGGCTCTTCCTCAATGGAAGGCGCTTAAAAAATGGTGTGTTTTTCGAGAAGCTGTTGACAGTGTGACTACCATTTAGATTCTCATCCTTCTGTATGTGTTATTGAAGCGTTTGGCCTGGTAAATTGCATATCACTACACCCTTCCAGGCTCTGAAGAAGGCGGTACTGCCGTGACGTTAGCTATGACCGTGTTGTGTGTGTTATTGTATGGGGTTAAATGTATTCTGTTTAACAACCTCGCGTTTGCTGAGAGAGAAAGCGACGAATTTATAATCCATTAGCGAGGTTAATAGAAAGTCAATCCTCGAAATAATATTAATTGCACTGGTAGTAATTACTGGCAATGGTAACGATAATAATTAACAATGATGGTAACAATTCATAACAATAGCAAGTAATAATTAATACCAGTAGAAAATAATAGTAATAAGTTGTAGACGGGAGCAAGTAGCGTAATGGTATTTATCCCGTTCATTACGCTGATATCCCAACCTACTCAGATGCTGGTTCGACCCTTCTTGGGCCCACTAAGCATCTGATCTTCCCTGTTTGGGAAATCTATGCCATACTTGTCCGGCTCCAGGCCACTCCCTTCAATCCGACTTGGAATGCTCTAGTACGGCTATCTTAGGACTCCAGTAGGAATCACCACGGCTACCATTCAACGGAATTCGTGACGTACACGAAAAAATCCTCAAGCAGCAGTGGCAACCACCCGTAAAAAACGTCGAAGATCTTCGTGGATGCTGGATGCGAAGGAACGAATGGAGTGCGAAAAGTGCTCGAATCAGCGCAACATTATATGTGATGCGACATCACATAATAAAAGTAATAGTAGTACTAATATTTCCGACAATGTTTTATCTTCACAGGTAATTATGGTGTGAAGTTGGCAACCCGGAGGGATCGAGCCCTAGGCGTTGACCGAACTAAATACACGGAAACGGTCCTGCGTCTATTGCAGTGCGCCTTTAACCACTACGCTTCACGAAGCACACATGCTTGATGTGGTAGCGGAAACAAAGTTTACTTTTGTGCTGGCATAGGAACTCGTTTGAAATTTTAGTACTAATTAAAAGTGATGCATTGTAGGAATCAGTTGAAATGTTGGCTACTGTTCATGATGCGGTGCCATTGGTGAGAAGCGAAGTGGAGTTCACTTCTAGTGTTGATATTAATGGTCCTATATTCCCTCTTCTAGCAGATTGTGAGGAATCGATAGGAAGAATTGTTGGAAGACTGTTATCAATTTCTACGGCTACTGGGTACGCCGTTAGTTAATAATGTGAACAGTAATCCCAGAAATGTCCGTAAAGGTTTTGCGTAATGGTTAGATATTTAGTTGGATACTTGGACAGCCCTTCCTCAAGAGTTGTGCAGACTCCAGCACATATCCTATTCGTCTCTTTGCCTCGTTGTCGTCGTCGCGTGGTGGTGGTTTGATTCCAGCATGGTGGCGAATGCTAGTGGAGCATCCCGTGGACTCCATTCTATAGTTCCTTTCGTCCATCTGTCGTCTACTGTTTTCATTATATTAACGGCCCATCTATGTTTCGCTATCAATGGGTGTTCTCCTGATTCTTGAGCATGAGATAGATTTCGGGGACCAGAACTTTGCATGCAGGCTAAATGTTTGAGAGTGCCAGTTATATTTCATAAGACATTGTTGAAGTACTCTATGAGTAGTGCGCAGTATTCCTAACGTGGTTGAAATATCTGCCCACGACCCTGCAATACTGAGCGCTGGGGAACCGTTAAATCGAAAAGGTGAGCATGGATTTTTGTATCCTTTAGTTGGTCGGTAGCTCCTTTGACACGCCTAAATGCGACCGAAACTGCTTTCCTTCTTCTGTCTATTTCCTATTTCATGTTGTTTTTCAAGTTTGTTGAGCCCTCAAGGTACACTTACGAAGCGGTCTCTGTAATCAAAGAACCATCCAGTTCGATTTGTTCGCCTTCGCGCCATGGATGTCTCGTGAACTGGGTTTTCTTCCGATTTATGCGCATTGCGATTTTTTTCCCGTTTCGTTGAGCTCACTGATTATCGTTTCTGTTTGTTGGATAGTTTTCCATCAATACATATGTCTTTCTCAAACAATCGAGTGAATTCATTATCCACTGCAGTGCAGCACTGAACAGCTTCGGCGAAATTGTGTCGCCTTATCGAACTCCTTTTCGTATGGGTATGATAAGAGATCGATGGAAAAGCTGTATTTTCAAAGCGAATTTTCGATAACAGTCTGATGGAGTTCTCAAGCGAGACCGGTTTACTTGTTGCTCGACGGGCACTGAAAGGATTACATTTATTTCGGCACTATCACACGCTTTTTTTTACAGTGGACAATAGTCAGGACTAGGGGCAGGTGGTATTCCCTACAAACTTCGGTGACCATGGACATCGTTTGCACGTGTCTATGCAGCAAAATCCCTTTTGAAATCTTGCTTGCTTAACTGGTTGCGCTTCTTCCAATATCCTTGATGTGCACGACAGAATAATCTTCAAGAACTTGTAGAGTACACTCGACCAGCATATCAGACAATAGGTTTTGTGTAATACAGTATATTGTAGCGATTCAACAATTTTTTTCGCCTATATTTCGAAAACCCTCCAACGGTTTACCGCCTTATCGTACCTGGGAGGTGTTCTGGGTGTTGAGTTGCGATGTACAGCTGGGAAATTAATCCTGCAGCAGAATCTCCCAGGCTCAGAAAGAGTCCGGGATTTCTATCAGGAAGCCCAGCTACCAGAAAACCAGTACAAGGGTCCACCACCATGCTGGTGGTAAACTAGTTACATGGTGGCAAATCTCCCTCTGATACACAAGGGTGGTGGCTGCCTGTGGTGGTAACCACCTGGGGCGGAGTTTGGACTGGCTGACCTAGGTATTCGAGGGAACCACAGTAGCTAAACCAGCAGTGCTCCAATAAAATGGAGATATTGCTGGGTCCGCTCGACCAGTGAGGACGGGCCGTCCAAGTATCCAAGTTGATAAGTAAGTATATTTGGAAAAGGTTTTCCTTTTTTCAAAATGGAATCCTATTTTAGAGCTTTAGCCGCTCGTAAGTCATTAGAGGCGAGGGGGATTGTTCAAATCCGACATCTTGCTGCATTGACACGACATGAGGTATCGCTGTTGAACATAAGAAAACCCCGCATCGAGACAGCGATTCGTGCTCTATCTCATTTTGCTCGCACCTATACAAAATCTGATCCGACATCAGTAGTTGATAAGGTGAAGTGCTGTAATTTATTAAGCCCATTTTTATTACGTCCACTAATAAATAGTTAAGCTAGAAATTTCTTGTTTTAGAAATCATTGTTCGATGAGAAAGAAGCACCATTGGTACCCCTGGATGCAGTTGAAACGGGTTTGCCTGAGAATGTTATTAATACTATTTCTACGAATTCCACCTCTGTCAGTGAAAATTCTACTGTGGATGGTAGTCTTTGTTAGCATCATCTTGTCTGACACAGTTATTAGTGGTTTCTTTATTTTCTAGCCGAAAAGAAAATGGATGAAACTACAAAGAACCTTGACGACCATGTCCAGCAGGAGGATGAACCCGCGGTAACCCAGAGTAATCGTGCACTAGTAATCGAGAAAATTCGGCGTTTTAAAGCTGGTGCGGTTTTTTTTACTACAACCCTGTAAAACTTATTTTTTGATGTTTTGTTTACTGCTCTATTTTCCATTTAGAAAAATAAAACAATTTGAGTAGTAGTGACATTTATCAAATTTCCGATCCATCTATGAATTCTTCTGATTTAATGTACCTTATTTCATTGATAAGCTAACACGAGATCGTTACCAATCATTTATTTGGTTAACGCTTCAACGTCTTCGTCTTCATCAGAGTGTATGATTGGAGTTGTTAGTCCACAGTTGTTCGTCTCGTCTCGAATCGGATCTTCTTCAGTGGAGCACCACTCGAATGAGGCATCCTCACCCCGCAGTACTCTTCTATCCAAGACTGTTATTGTTCGTATGAAATGCTGAGATATTTGCAAAACTCCGGACCACAGGTGTATGCAGTCGAGAACGAACACGCCATCCGTCCGGGTAGTGTAGTGGTGAAGTGCGCTGCTCCCCGGTAGGGACAACAGCGCGTGTTCGTTCTCGACTGCATACACCTGTGGTCCGGAGTTTTGCAAACATCTCAGCATTTCATACGAGTTATATTTCGCAACATAACCTGCCATTAAGAAGAAAAAGGCAGTAAATAAAAGAGTTAAGACTGTTATTGTTGATAAATACTATCCGTTGATAATAATTTGTTCATCTGGTATGGACAGGCATCTGGTTTATTCTATACTGGATCCTAAAATTATAGTTTATGTCCTTGTGTCGATCAGTGAGTTTCTTTGTCTTGTTAGTTCTTACTCTCTTTCCCCGTCATATTCGTTTGTTTTTATTATAGTCTGTATTCTACATGTTTATATGGGTTTATTATCTTGTCTGTTAAATTATTACGACAATGTTGGTTGGTTAGAAAGCCTTGGTTACAAAATTTCAGAAATTCATATTTCTTTCACCATTGATTTAGTCCGTCCCTTTATATGGGGTGTTTACCTACCTACATGGATGGATATATGGATTACTCATCCTCACTGTGCGAGCCCCAGCCTATTCTCTTCTCCTTTGAAGTTTTGCTGGTTTAGCCATAGTGGTCCCTTTGGTTCCGAAGTCAGTATTTAATTGCTGTTAATTCAGTGAAGTTATTAGCATTTACCGTTTATTAGAAAGGGCAAGCACTCTAATGATACCAATTTGCCATACAGTACTGCTGACTAAGGTTGCCCTTTATAGTGCAGGAAATCATTGAAAAGGAGACGGTTGAAGCGGAAAGTGTGGATGCGATTCAGCTGCTACGTACTGTACGGAGCAGTATGAGAGGTCTACTTGATATCGTGGATTGGTGGGAACAAGTGATCTCCACCTAATACATTGAGATAGAACTGTTGTTGTTGCTGCCGTTTATGTAGTTGTTGCCGTCACAGTATTTGATACTACAATTTTTTTTGCCAAGCGAATTTCGTGTTATTCGTGCATCATGTGTAACGACTTTTCTTTAACTACTGTCACTTCTATTTGTATAATATAAATAACACATTATCTCATATAACGATACACACTATTGACATGTACCGTATTTTTGCTCAATTTTATTGTTTGTACTGTTTGTGGCAATCAATGATGTTAATTTTAGGTGCCTTTTGAGGGTAAAATCAACCAAGGTCAATGTTTTACCATTGTTAAGCTTCATGTACTTCTAATCCTATAGTGACATTATGGGCATTAGTTATGGCTTTAAGATTTCATCTGCGCTACCATACGCAGATGACGCTTTGTTTTATCGATTCTCTCCGTGCAATGATGTTCCAAATGTGCGAATACAGTTCTGAACTGTTTCAGGTTTTTAACACAGGTTTCGAAATTGGATAGAGGTACATTGGTGGAGAGTGTTAATATTTGTACTTGCTGTCTTGTGTATTATATTGATGCGCGTCTCTGTGTGTGGCGCAGTGGTCGGAGGCGCCGTGCAGTACACAGGATCGATCTCGGCACTTCAGTCCCACCAGAGCTATCAGATCGCTATGGTGGATAGCAGGACTGGCTTGTTAAATCGGTATACCACCGCGAATCATTATAATGGTCAAATATGCATTCAATCGCCTCCAACGACACTTAATGAAGCTGGATGCATGGCGCGTCCCTTAGTGATTGACCAACGCCGAGAGCCTTATCCTGTACCTCCTACATGGATGTTCTTCAATATCTTGATGCACTTTACATTAATGAGTGGTAGTAATGTTCAAAGCGAGATGTGTTGAAGCTATTACATCTATGCGATATTATTCGTTTCAGATAATTCTCAAGATATGAAGGAGGAGTGTATCCCAGTGCTTAGATGTGTTTTGCGTTAATGGTACAGACACACACTGGCTTACCAAATCCTCAGTCACTGCAGAGTCGGCAAATTAGTACCACAGTTATTTCGGAGGATGAAGGTACTGATTTGATAGAGCGGAAAACTCTTGGATTTTACCGTACGGCCTACGTGCGCGTGAAATCACCTATGCATTGCTTAATAGCGGAAAACGTGCGGCGCGTCTTAGAATTGGTAAGCTTCGAACATTGTGATTTATCTATTATGATCTCATAAACTGATCTCCTTTAGCTGATACGAGGTTGGCATAGGTTTTCGTTGTCGTCGTTGTTGGTGTTGTTGGTCGATGGCTGACGTTTCGGCGACTTCTCCTTCCTCCGATCCTGGACGTATTTAATATTAGAATATTTTTACCATTCGGTGGAAAAAAGGCTAAAGTATTAGTGAAGATCAAACTTTTAAATGGATGGTGGGTTAGGTTCCTACGGTCAAATGTATTTCTACGCCATATTGAACAGAAAGGTTACTCACCGCAATGTTACGAGTGCGACTGGCCCACGCGTTGTTCACGTGGGGTCGCGAGCAACGTACACATCGGGGTGAAAATATCATTTTGAAATAGGGCGCCAGGTCACGTGTGATAGTCAGGGATTCGTCTTTCCGGCTCATCTTTGGATTTCTGAAATTTGTCCAAAACGTTTCGAGAGGTTTTGCGCGTTGATGTCTTCGATTCCTGCGCCAGGATCCGTACAGTCACTTCAGAATCATCGCCGTTGTGCTTTTGTGCCTTATGCGTACCTAGAGGAGTGTTTAGACGGATTTTAGCTTTTCCATCCAGATGTTCTTTTATGCGGGCACAAAATGGTCCATCCGTTTCCCCAATATATTCTTCACCGCATGCGTTACACGAGATCAAGTATATCATACCTGAACTCATGCAATCCTCGAGTTGCTCTAAGCATGAGAAGAAGATAAAAATGTACGGTTTGTCGATTGCGCAACTAATGATTCTCTTAAAACAATGTCTTAGTTGTTCAATCTTCAGGTGGTCTGGAAAATATTTTGCACAAATTAGAGGGCTGGCGATTAGGCAGCGTTTAGCACAAACCCTTACCATCGCTTTCATGTTTAAGGTGGAAGCTCCAGTTCTCGATCACCGACCCTTACTCTACTGTCGATACATAAACGACTGCTTCATCGTCTGTTCCACACAAGAATAGATGGATGAGTGCTTTGAATTATTAAACCGACAGTCAGAGCATATAAAATTTACAAGAGAAAAGCCAACCGAAAACTGGCTTCCATTCTCAAACAACCAAATAAAGCTCTCAGAAAACGGCTAACAAAATGGCATTGTAGGCCAAGTAGTGAAAACATTCTAGTTCACTACCTCTCCTGTGATCATTCATACATGAAGAAAGCACTTATCAAAAACATGTACCGTACGGCTAAAAATGTGCGCACAGAAGAGGAAAGGAAGGAGTGACAAAACCTGGCACGAAAAATAGCCATTTCCAATGGCTACGAAGTAGAAGCCACTCGGGTTAGACAAAATCGTAGGATAGTTTCCCAAAATAATGTTTCAGACGAAAGTAGGATCCCCTTTAAGCTGCCCTTCATATCAAATGAAGGAAGTCACGCCATTAAAATGTGCTTAAGAAAAAGTGTTCTTGAAAATTATGTAACGATTGTTGACATCCCACCCAATACCCTACGCCGCCAGTTAGTTCGAAACCGTCTCTATGATCGTTTGTGCAGCTCAGAAAACTGTATGATCTGTCCTAACCGAAGAGATAGGGATTGCATGACTTCATGCATAATATACTTGATCTCATGTAACGCATGCGGTGAAGAATATATTGGGGAAACGGGTAGACCACTTTGTGTCTGTATAAAAGAACATCTAGATGGGAAAGTTAAGATCCGTCAAAACACCCCTCTAGGTACACATAGGGCACAAAAGCACAACGGCGATGATTTTGAAGTGAATGTGCGGATCCTAGCGCAGGAATCGAAGACGTCAACGCACCAAATACCTGAGGCGGTTCGGACAAATTCCGAAAATCCGAAGATAAACCGGAAATTTGATGAAAGGCAAAGTTCAAAGATCTCATGGCAGACGCTCCATTCGAATTGATAGCTTTTATTACATTAATTCAGCATGTAATGATTAATAGGATTAAATCTGTTGGTCAAGAGTTGGAGTGTTTAAAATACGTACATATATATATATAGCATAACAATTTCTTTCTTTATTTATTTCTTAGTCCACTGGTGCCAAGCAGTCTATGATGGATGCGCACCAACTGGATGGAAAGACGCTACAACAAATTCTGATCGTTATAAAACTGCCAATTAAAAAATTACTTTAATTTAATGATTGAATGGTCTTACGATCACTTCGTACACTTCGTATTGCTTTTTTTATTTCATAGTTTCAGGGCAAGAAAAACTGTGCGAATCAACTTCACGTTGGCACTCGAGTACTTAGGTTGTATACCAATGGAAGGAAATCGCCGAAAATAAGGAACAATGAGTAATAAGCAACGCAATTTAGCATAAAGAGGATCCTGTATGATCAATTAACACATACTTTCCCAAGTTCGTTTGCTAGCAAATGACGGTAATTGGGTTAAGGACTTCACATTTTTACAGACAATGCGGTGGTGTCCGTAGCATAAGAATGTCAGCTGTTAAGAAGTGCTGTGGTTCACTCTTCTCACGGGTGAAACAGTTGTGAGGGTGGACAAAATCCGATTTAGGAAGCAATCAGTGCTTCATTTAGATGCGTTTGTATCATGCTTGCTCAACGGTTATCCCGTTGGAATAGAAGAGTGACACTGGTATGGCCTGACGTGAGATGTTATTTCCTTAAAACTAAAAAGCAACTTGTATTGTCTATATTGAACGGATTCTCCTCAATAGAGTGCGCAGCTTGTAAATAATTCATTTTTTCTTCCCTTTAACCATTCTTGTTCACATGTTTTCATTCACGTGACTTCCAAGGTTGTCTTGTGATCACTCTTCAGGTCCTTCCATCTCTGTTTTCTACGCCGTATCCTTGTCGATTAAGCTTCATGGTTGACCTTATTGTTCTTGGAGCGCTCACACGATTTAAAGCATTTTGTTTCCCATTCGTGCTTGAATTGGATGCAGTTGTTGTTTTTCGACGATACATGAGCAAATTTGTATACAAGGTTATTATTTTATTTCATATTATTTTATTTCGCCCGTCTTCACGTCTACTGTGCGGTTCACAGCAATTCGCACAGTCGATTCCTTTCCACGCATCCATTGTCCACGAAGATCTTTCAACTTTTACGTATCACTTCTGTTTCTGCTTAAGGATTTTCATTTCATTCTTAATATCGCAAAATGCTGGTCGAGAAATTCTCGGTGCAGTTCTGAAATAACAGGGCTGGAGCGTTCCCATTTGGATTCAAGAGTGAGTTTTTTCCCAGACAAATCCGGTACCAATTTTCCGACCCCCGAGGGATGAGAGCCTTGCTTGGCTCTGAGCAGAACCGAACTAGCACTCGTGGTAGCGGACATCACTATTACTGTGCTATCCGCTCCCATGATAGGTTATAGAAGGTGTAAATCTTTACTTGCTACAGAAGGCGTCCACTTCACTTTTGCCATTATCGTCCACAATTGAACGCTTGTAACAAACTTTAAACATTCTTCACATTGACCGTAATTTAATCTCGGTAGTTATAATCAGTACTTTCTTGAATTGTTGATGTAACACGATGTTCATAAAGATATTTATTCGGTTAACGTTTCGACGTCTTCGTCTTCGTTGGAGCCGAGTGGGGTTGCATCATTCCAGGGCTTCACTAAAAAAGAATCGACTCGATACCGACGAAGACACCCACTCGAGAAGTCGAACAACGGTGTAGCATCGCCTCGCATTACCGGCTCAGATGAAGACGAAGATGTCAAAACGTTGATCGAATAAACATCTTTATCAATCAGCTTAGAAATCCAACAGGGTAATATAGTTCGTCGTTTGGTTAAGTTTCACATATTTTTAGTAGTTCCGTCCTCCAT